AACTCGGTTTAGATTTATAGAAAATTAAATTTACCATAAATATCTTATTCGTTTTTATTCATTGGCAGCTAATAGGTTGCGCAATCGATTAAATTAAGCATTTTTCTTGGGACACATTAGGTAAAAACCATTATACATACGGTCGGTAAATATGTAAACTTTCACCAAAGTGGAACGAACGTACTTACTTAGGCCAATATGCGAGAGGAATTTCGAGTGTCTTTCGCATTTAAATGCTATTATCAGCGATTCTTCGCGCGAGTTAAGCTCAAAGGTTCTTACTTTGAGCGCTTTTTATTTGCTGTGGCTACGGGCGCATTGGAAACTTTTACTTAAAGTATAAACAATGCTGTAATATACCCGAACGTAATCACGCTTGCCTTTGAATACTAAACAGTGTACACACATCAAAATTTAATCTAACTAACATTAGGCGATTTTTCAATGCGAAGACACACGGTTGTGTAGGTACCGTCGAAGTATATACTCAATAATATTTGAAAAATTATTGCTTTATTAATGAGTTTTATTTCCAGATTGTCGATATTACATTTAGTAATAACAATTTGGTGAAAAAATCGCTTTGTGAATGCGGCTTTACAACAATAGTATTATTAAATTCATTCGAACACAACGCGAAGCCATCCCGACGAAAATATGTATATCTATCGAAAATATATTACAATTCGAATAATGCATAATGAAAATATTTAGTTTTTAATCGAAAATTTCCGAAACAATAGTGAATGCGCGATAGCGTTTTTCGCGATAATTCAATAGAGAATTTTCATTACGCTCCAACCCCAACGCTCGGAAATGTTTGGATGCAAAGTACGTTTTCCATCGATATAAATTTGATTTATACTAGTAATAATTGACTCATAAAATAGTTTGTTTTTATGTTACATTAAAACTTAATTTAGTGAACTTTACAAACTGTAAAGCGAAGTTCGAATCGTGAAATACGAGTAGATTCTATTTGCGTAACGAAAAATCGTAATATCCGTACACAATCGCTGTCAAAAAATGACTAACGACGCGACTAATTAAATTCTCATCCGCACATAAAGCACACACACAGGTTGCTCTTTCCGTAATGTGTCTCACGTGAGCGACAGAGGCCGAAATCGTTGAAAACGTCCAGCCGTCAACCTGTTAATTGGATGCAACTTATTAGTTCCGCAACGTTGATTATCAGTCTTGCTTTACTAAGTCGTCAATGTTACGATGTTCGGCTATAAAAGCGATTGTAATCCTTGAATTTCTTGCAATTGTAATAGGCAAATAAAGTAAGCTTTTTATATCATCCCTGTTTTACCTGCTTCTCATTGTGGTAAATGGATTCATTTTTTTAATTGAGAAACGTATGTAGTTCAAGGTAGATCTATACACATATTAAACGGCAATTAACCGCGTTTGTTTTGTCTTAATTAGAGTTGTTTACCTGATAGATAAAAAATGTCAATTTTCTGATAAGTATAGGAATAAAATAATAATTTTTTAGCTTGTAGAAATTTTTATGTAAAACAGAAACCGGTGCGACATCCGTTGTTTGTATTACATATATTTAAAATAATTGCATTACCGATGTTACGTAACTCGATTTGTAATATTTTTCTTGACATTGAAACTGTGTGTGTATGTGTATTCTCTCTCAGCTATCCCACGACCGTTTTGCTCAACAGTCACTTTTAATAATTGTGCTGCATTCGCTTTGAATAAATTCCGAATCGTATTCCGTGTATTTTATTTCAGAATTTCGGGTAGCGCGGACTCTTTTGACATAATGTAATTAAACTAATTAATCGAAAAACCATTAATTTTAATTTGGATAATGTAGAAAATCCTATAGAATCCTTTAAATCGGTTATTCCTTATTGTGAATAGTTGCTTATAATTTAATAAGAGAAATGATTAATTTTTCGTGAAATACAAACACCTGCATTTTAGCGTTTTTCAGCCGTAACGCTATCTATTCTTAGAATGCAACAACATGAAAATGTGTATGATAATTTTAACGGCCCATTGGTATTTCGAAGTATATCGAACGTCGATACGTTTGGTATTCAAATCGACATGAATATTAGCTCGATATAATAATAGTTTGTTATTTTAGATATTTTATCTCTTTTTTCCTTTATGGCTATTAGGCATTTATTATTCGTTATTGCCTATTGTGCAGTTTCTTTTCGTAACTGTAAACATTGTTCTCAATCCTTGGTGTGTAATAATTTGATCAAAATCGTTTCTGAAAATTATCCACGATTATTTTAGGTAATTACATGCGGTTTTTTTTTTAATTTTTTTAATGAAGAAACAATTCGTAAATTAAACGTTTGTTTTTTTATATTTTCTAATTAAGGTTCACCTTAAATATACCATTTGATAATTGCAATGCCAAAATTAAAAAAACTAATTAAAGCGTTGGTAATTACATTAACAATTGAAAAACCAATTTTTTGAAAAGGATTAATAAATAATAAAAATATTTTCCTCTCATTCATGCGCTCATTCATCGCTCATTACACACGTGTCCATCACGTGGGCTTCTTACGAACAAAACGATTCGAGAATGTAATTTAGTCGCACACCTTGCGAGAGAAACCGAGAGTCCTTCCTGTAGCGAGACGATTAAATTATGCATTTACATACCTATACGATTCGTTTGCGTACTTATAACTTGCGAAAGTGAAAAATTATTTATAGCCCGGGACGCAACTTTGATCCCGCAGGCTAGACGCTAGACAAATGAAGAGCGTAATCTCTATTTGTCAAAGCCCGCCGGATTTTTTGCGTTAACGAGCGCCCGTTAAAAGATATTTGAGATTAGTAAGTACATCTTTAACGTGGAATGTAGTAGAATAATAACGTGACATTAATTTTACGTATGTTTACAAATCATCCTTCAAAAAAATCTCATTCTCGGATATATTACATATACACTTATGAATAGAACGTCCATTATAATGGTTTAAAAATTAAACGAATTTTTTTGTATACTTATCGACGACCTAACCTAGAACACTGTCACGCATTAAATATTTATAAAGGCATTATATCGACGGCCGCTTGTTTGGGGGGGCACAATAGGCCACATTTCAATTTCAAATGAGGAAGAATACACAATAAGGACATTTTTAACAACGTCAATAAAGACGAAGAAATATGATTTTGAATTTTCGGCGTTGCGCGGTTCAGTCGGGAGTCGAGCGAGACGATAAGGATGTTGAATGGCCGTTCCGGGTAAAAATAAAAAGCGTTTTAGGAACTATAAATTTCGTTTTAAAAAATGAATAATTTAGTACCCACTCCTCGAGCGTTAAAATCGAATTGGACCATAATATTTTACAAGGTTTATACATCATACTCTCTGTAGAGTCGCGTATTCGATATAATAATAGCGCTAATAAAGAAACTTTTATGCGAAATTAACAAAATCAGTACACAAGCAAGTGGTGTAATTTAATCATGCGACGAAGGAACGCAGTAGTCGCCATTCAGCTATGACAACTATGAATAAATAACTAGCAAATATTTCGTGGCATTGTCACTGAAAAATAATTATCCATAAGATTACAATTCGACTAGTTGAAAACGATGTGCTTGACGATAAATAACTTCGCTTTCTCGCATGCACGGCATTGTTTCGTTATGAAACAAGAATATATCCGTTTCGTGCACTGTTGCGTTTTACTTAGGTTAATTGGCGATTTTATGCTGAATTTTACGCATAAATTGCTTGCTTATGGTAATGATTTAATGCGACTTTTCACTTTGATACGCTGCACATAATCCTAAATATTTCACCTAGCAATTTTGACAATTTTTCTCTTTAATTAAAGAGAGTTTTCCTATGATTTAAACGGCTTTTTTTATTATTTTAATGAGGTTTTAATCTGATTTTGATTCAAAATTATTACTCGAGTATAAATTCGACAGTTTACACAATAAATTTCTGCGTTATTTGTTGTTTTACCTATCTAACGAGTACATCCATAAATTCTTCTTACCTTGAAATCTATGCCAAAGTCAGTAAAAGTAATGATCTCTCTTCTATTGCATACGCGATTACGGAATGTTATTATTAATAGAAAAAGGTACTCTGGTACTAAAACGCCGATTACCCGATGATATAACGATAGCAATCGTTGAAATAAAGCGTTTTTTTTTCGAATTAACACGTGTTACGCATTAACCAAATTAGAAACGCAACCTAGTTGAGCTGAAACGATGTATTTACATTAAATTCGTGTAAAATTCACGTTACTTTTAATACCAACAAAGTGACACTTGACATGCGAAACAAAACAACTTGATCAAAACCAGCGCCCTTGATGTGAGCACGTCAATGGACCTCTTCTTCTTATCAATGATTATTCAATGACATAGAGACCAACTTAATGCCCGTATACGCGTGCGGCAACGGCACAGAAGGCCGAAGTCTATGCAATCCCCGTATCTATGTCGGTATATCAAGAGTCGAGAGAAACGTCGAGCGTTGCTGACACGACGAGTTTCCAACACAATGACACCACTGTCATCGTTAACTGCGATGCCTGCGCCTCGACTCTGGCTCGGTTCTACACACAACCACACGCATTCGACTGTTTCTGTTTATTCTTCGAATTCCCCAGTGCGATATTCCGCGTGTCTTGTTACAGTTAACCGTCTTTTTATGGTCGCCGGATGTAATGCTAGAGGGACACCGTTTAGATTTGTTCCATTTAGCTGAACTAGTTGAATTACTTGGTTGACTAGGTACCGCACGTGACTGATTGTAGTTGACAAACCAGAGTATCTAACTAAAGATTTTGGAAAAAAATCTTATAAAGATGAAGAATCATTATCCAATGAATTGGACTCGATAATCAAAGGGTTGTTACAACCCATTATTCATGTTATTTGTATTATCCAATTTCGTTAATGGTATTGATTGCTTTGTATAATTTTGGTAACTTTACTATCTTGTGTGATTAATGGATTCTTTGTTTTTGTTGCAGAAAGAAAATTGTTTGTGGGAATGCTTAGCAAAAAATTGTGCGAAAATGATGTACGCGCCTTGTTCAATGGATACGGGACGATCGAGGAATGCACCGTTCTCAGAGACACGGCGGGCAATTCTCGGGGCTGCGCATTCGTGACGTTTGCTTCGAAACAGTCCGCCTTAAGTGCCATCAAAGGTTAGTGTATGAAAGGAAAATTTTTAGGAAAAACCACGGGTATTTGACGCGGTGTTTTGCTCGCTTCCAGGTCTCCATCAATCGCAAACGATGGAGGGTTGCTCGGCGCCGCTAGTAGTCAAATTCGCCGACACGCAGAAAGAGAAAGAACTGAAACGCCAGCAGCAGATGCAGGCCAACGTGTGGAATGCCCTGGCGGCGCCGACGCTGGCTTCGCCGCCGCAGCAATTCTCTCCCGTCGTACCGAACGAGGCGGCCTCGTTGCAGCTGCTCCAAGCGATGGGCGGCACCGGCCTGCTGCAGCAGCAGTTCCTCCAGAGCACCGACAACCTGCTGGCGCCCATCGGCGTGCAGAACCTGGTGGCGTTGGCGGCCATGTCGCAACCGGCGACCGCCGCCACGGCGCCGCTTTGCATGGCCAATTTGTTGGGGAAGGGAGCGGGCGTGGAAAGGACACTTAACGCGAGTTTGCACCATCCGACCGCCATTTCGACGCCCGATTTGTCGTCGTACGGTTCCTTAATTACTAATGCCACCATTAACGCGGCGGCGCTGGCGGCGGCAGGGAAGCAAATCGAAGGTAAGTAAGAATTCTCTCCCCCTTTAAACCACCAACTTTTAAGCCCGATTCTTTTCTAATTACGCGACCAGAAATAAACTTCGTTTCGAGTGTTTTAACGTACCATTTCGAACGGGATCCGTTGTGGCCGTTGGACCGTTAAGTGATAGTGTAAGTGACGCCGATTGGGTTATACGGCCCGCTATCACTGAATATAATTCAAATGGAATAGATATTACGGACAATTAAACAGGGTTATAGAGAGTAATAAATTCTGATATGGATGGTGGATTGCGCGCACCGTTATGATTAATAATACGAAAAAGCTGAGTGTTCGCATGAACTTTAACGTGGGATGTTTAGAAATCGCCCCCTCGAATTCTACCGAGAGGTTTTTTTTATAACGGCGTTTATATCTCGTATTTGCTTTTTCTCCTCTTTATTAGTTTATCTACTGTAGCATTTTCATTTTCCTTTAAATTTGGTCCTGTTAAATATCCAATTTAACGAGCATTAGTGTCGGATGAGTGAGATACGCCAATGACTGTTATTTTCGGAGTTTTATCTGCGAAATTGATCTTTCGATGAAGGAAAACCAAACTTTGCGAGTTAATGAAAGATGGAGGAGCAATTTTAATTGGATTCTAAAACTACGAGTTCGACTTCTTAAAAGAACGTTATTTTCTTAATTTAATGAATCTTTCCACTGAAACGTTTAAATTAAAATTTTTCTAGAAGCACACTTCTATGAACAAGTGCATATTAACAATAAGCGAACTTGAGAATTTTACTATCGACAAAAGCTACTAACATTGTCGTTACACCTTCATTAACAAACAGATAATCCTTATCGGCCGATGGGTTTTTTTTCGTTTCTTACACAAGTACACACAAACGAATGCAGTTTCGTTATTTTTTAAACTGTACAAGGTGCTCGACCTCTAGTCGACCTCCATATGAGTTACTTGGTAGTTTTTCGATAACGCGTAATGAATAAATAATGATTTTAATGCCGGAGGTATACCTGCAAGTTTAACTACCATGTCACCTATTGTTTCAATTTCGACATGTCTACTGTTGCGACGCTTACGAAAAATATTTACCAATCAGCTTGCGTTTTTGCTCACCAAATAGATTTTTTTGCCATAATAGTTCACAATATGGCATAAATTTCGTTGTAGGTTGTCCTGGGACCGCAAAATCGATCCCGTCGAAACAAAACGGGATCTGCACGAAACGTTCGAACATCAATGGGAAACGGAAAACACGAGTCGACAGTCGAAAAAACACATTTCCTTCGGACGAGTGCATGTTTTGACGGAGTCGAGGTTTTCCGAGCGTTCTCTAATTTTTCAATTAGACTTATCGTTTATTGGGTAGTTGGCGGACGGCCAAGTCGTGCCTACGGGGTCATTTGAATGACTGAAGATTTCAAAATTAAAATAAATACGAATGTATGCTGCGGTATGCTTGTTTGTTTATCACGTTATTTGTTGTTTGAACGAATGGAGGTGAATGATGGAGAACTGTTGGTAATAATTGGATATATGAGGGTGATTCTTGTATGCATCTTAAATCTATTTAGGTATTAAGGAGTTCATTAATTTTCTACCATTTAGAAGCTAGTTTAATAATTTTGCTCTTGTTCAATCAAAACAAAACCTTCCTTGGTGTAGAATTAATCTAATGGGTAAATACGGCCCGCTATAACCCTGTAAGTTAGGGGAGAGGAGAATGGACTTTTGTTAGAGCTTGCTCTTTTGTTCAAAGTGCATTCAGGGTTTTGTCTATGTCGTCTATGCAGGAACCACTTGTTCCAATTTCGGGTCGTTAGTTTACGAGTGGATGTCGAGTTTTTTATTATAAGAAAATGTAAGTCGAAATTTAATGGTTTTTTTCATTTCTTAATGAATTTCCCATCATCTTTTCCACCAATCAATTAATTAATAGTGCTCGTTTATAAAACGATAGAAAAACACAACTTTTTATTCCAAACAGAGCTCGAAGGAACTTTTTAATAAAGCGATATTTCGAGTTCGTACGTACATATTTTCGTTTTATAGTAATTTACTGGTTACTAATCTGACAGTTTATGAAGTATCTGTTCTTCGTGCACTTGTAGGTCGGTATTAATTTTTCAGAAGTGGTCCGCCTAAGTAAATAACCAGGTTATTTTCGGCATCAATTACGTTTCTTGTCTATGGTCTGTACGGGTCGAGATAAAATGCGCTTTTAGTAGGTACTTACACACAAATAACACGAGCGTAGGCAATTCCGCGTAATGGAAGGTAGAAATTTATTATGTAATTTTCCTTAGTTTTTAATCTTACCGTATGAAGGTTTAAATGTGGAAAGTACGAGTGCGTGGATATAACTAGTTTAACAATTCGTTAACATCGATTTTAAAATTACCGAGTACTTGTCGTCGAGAAAACACCTTTCAAGTCAACACGCATTTCCTATTGTTTATTTATAACGATCGGAAATATTGGAAAAACGCATGCTTTGTTTTGCAGAGATTAATCGTCGAAGCCGCGTTTTGAAGCCAACCGGGATACATATATAAATAATTGCTTTTTCATCAAGATAATCAATCACTCATTGCTAATATGTCATAATCCGTTCGGGTGTACCACCAACGATTAGGCCGGCACGAACGGTGCACGAAAAATACTTCAGTTACAACACTTTTACACAGTGATAAAGATATTGTAATGGTGACACAACTACTTGAACACTAATACCTTTATTGTGGTTGCTTTATTTATTATTAAAAAGTACAGGTGTAAAATTAGATAGGCGCATCGAATAATTTTAGGACGTCCTGTACATAAATTAAAATAGCCTTAGAGCTAAAATTTGCAGTTTCCGTTCGCTACCGGGCTGGTTATTCATAACTTCTGCACATGAGTACGTGGAAGAAATAATGCAAAAATAAATGATACAAGAGAGATAGGCTACAGATTGGATTTTGATGGAAAAACCATCGGTTCAGTGTAATGTATCGGAAAATCGGAAACGCATTCAGGGGCACTTTTTAATCAGGATAAAATGAATTTCGAGAGGAGTATACGAATTTTTTAGACTAAGGAATGATGCGCATTATTTTGTTCATTTTAAATGGGCAAATATGCAAATATGCAGGGGAAAAAGTTTACCTGTAATACCCGTATTTTGTTATATCTCGGTAAAACGAAACTACAATTGAAACAGTTACACCGATCAGGACATTTGGATTTCCTTTTGAGCTTAATTACAATTGCAATGAGTACAAGGGGAGGAAAAGCGTAAAACAAAATTTTATTGCTTTCATTTATTTCATTAGTTTAAGAGGGGTGTGATCGACATCAATGGCGTGGTGATTTGATTTTCAAGCATTAAAACCTATTAAATTTTTATCGCTAAAATGAATTACACTTAACTTATTTGTACTCCTACTGTTATTATCGATTTTATGTCTACATCCCTTTGTTTGTCAATTATCCTGTTTCCATTAATGTTCATGCTACTTCTACCGAATGTTAAAATTTAATGTTCGTTAATATTTCTAACTTGAAATTTGTCAGATATAAGAATAATAAGCTAAGGATGAGTGTAATTTTGATGGATACGCCTCTGTATTTAAAACAGTCGAAAGGGTTGGGAATATTAAAATGCTCTCCCGACATTGAGGGCGCAATTTGCCGGAACTTTTGCTTGTGACGACCTAATTGGCTAATTCCGTAACCAAAGTAGCGTTCGCAGAGATCTTTAAGGAATTTTTAATAACCTTTAATTTTCAATTTACCACCCGCCATACGGCTTTCAACTCATTGTTTCAAAGCGGACCGCCTACACTCACTCCCAAATGAATGACCCTTTTTCTATCATTAGATATTAATAATTATAATTTGAAATTTCGAAAGTTGCCTGACGTATTCTTAATAACGCTGGAAATTCGATACGAAAATTCGGAACGCGCAACGAATGTCCGGGCCACTAAAATTTCCCCGTTATTATTTATGAGGCTTGACAGTTTCAATCAAAACTGCATTTTGCGGTCTGGTCTGTTTGAAATCATTACGGGTCACGCCACGGTTTGTTTACGATAATTTAGCATTTGCGCTTTTATTTCGGAAAACCACTCATTCGGTTAATTTCTACTGAGCGAACGCAAAAAAGCCGAACTGTGCTGATTTAACTTATTTTTTTTCGATTTTCGACGCTGGGAGAGGGGTTGGGACTTGTCGATATGACACATGCGTACACAGGGCACTTTTATGCTAAATTAATCTCGCCTTTGGAAATAGCATCCTCGTAAAAAGGAACCAAAAGGTCATTTTTATTTAAGCCCCAACGACAGCTGAACGAAGCCTCCATCTAAAACGTGAGTTCAAATCGACCGAACGCCAGTGTATGTGGACAGAAACTTCCATCGAGCAGAAAATGCGCTACACTTAGTCCCGTCGGTTGAATTTATTGTTAGAGCATAATGACCACATCGATAATAAGATTAACTATCGAAAATTCCGAAAAATCTGGATGATTTTTATTAACTGCATCCGCTTTATTTCCTGTAATCCCCCAATTGTTAGCACAACACCGTTCATTTCGACAGATTCCGATATTGTTGGAAATAATCGATTGCGGTTTTATTAAACTTCTGTCCCAATGGATTGTTATGCTTCCAGTCGAATGGAAAACGAGTCGCGGTTTTGAATGGGGCAGTAAAATTGGAAGGTCGGATTAGAAAAGCCACCTGACAGTGTCAGCCGTTTTATTTTTATTCCACTTTTATGAGTCGCCTGTACATGATGTTTTACCGAAAAAATTGGCTATCTACTAAAACATCGGAGGGTATAGAGTAGCACGGGAATGTTTATTCGAGTTGATTAATCTGGAAGTGTCAGGTTTTGTAATTAGCTAGAAGCTGCATTCGGTTCTATAATTGGACACTAAAGAGATTCATTTCATGTGATGAATAGGACTAGTTGTTTTGGGGTTTCAAGGAAACCTGGAAATGCTCGTAATAAAGCAAGAATTAAATTGGTATTTTGAATTGCAGGTCCGGACGGTTGCAACCTGTTCATCTACCACCTACCGCAGGAGTTCACCGACACCGATTTAGCGTCGACGTTCCTCCCGTTCGGTCCCGTCATATCAGCCAAGGTGTTCATAGACAAACAAACGAATCTGTCCAAGTGTTTCGGCTTCGTGTCGTTCGATAACGCGCAATCGGCCCAGCAGGCGATCTCCGCGATGAACGGTTTCCAAATAGGCACCAAAAGGCTCAAGGTCCAGCTGAAGCGCGCCAAAGAAGCATCGAAGCCTTACTAGCCAAAGAGAGCGGGCGCCACCGCCAGTCGGACGGCCACGTGACGTTGCGCCGGCCGGCCTTTGCGTATACGACTCGCGTGCGCGGAATTGAAATTGAAAATTTCCAGGTACTGTGATGAGAGAGTCGAGAATGAGGAATATTTGCTAGTTTTTTTTTTATGCGATGTAATTTTTATTGTTTAATTTTTTTTTATTTGATGTCAGTCGATGATCGTTAAAGATGCCGAATGTCTTCGTCGTTAAAATTTTTGGCTCGTTTGGAAGGAAATGATGGGTGAAAGAAAGTGTATACTTAGTGCAATTTGACGAATATGTTACCCAATTATCCAACTCAATTATCATCGCTTTACTTAATCCGCGTTTCTTTTTTATCACTATTTACGCCGAATTGGCTTAAGGTCAAGTCCGATGGGATGGCCAAGCGGTAGAGATCTATATGGGTAAATTTTATAGGCGAGTGATCCAGATAGCCTGGCTCTTACGAATGTACGATCAACGATATCTGGACACCGCTTATCTACGAAATATAGAATCATCCCTATCGCTTGGTCATCGCACCAGCCTTCCGCCCTTAGGTGAAGTATTCGATCGACTTTGCGAAGGCATTTAGCGTCTTTTATCTAAATATTTTTTATGTTTTGTTGTGTTTACCGAGAAATTTTCAATTCCCTTTCCGCGCCTGAGGAGCATGTGCCTGAAAAGCTAAACATGCCAATACCAAGGCTGGCCATTGATAAATCCGACTGACTAGCCACGCCTACACCCCAGCACCGTGCCAGTGCAGTGCAAATCTCAGGATCTAGCTGCTATTTTTTATGAACTGTGAGATATTTTTACTAGAAAATCGGAAATTTAAAAATATTAGTTTTTCACGAAAGGACCATGCGGATTTGAATTTTGACAAACGATAGTTGACGTTGAAGTTGACAGTAGTTGTCTAAAAAAAAATGGTCCTTTTGTGAGACTGTTTTTACTAGTTAACTGTGATCGTTCGATCGCTGTGTAAATTTCAAATTTATTATCATGTATATGACGAGGATGTGCCGACTGTTTGGGCTGGGCGAGATTTTCTTGATACAAATAGGAAAATCACGTATTAGGAAAATCGGGTTGGAATATCATTACGAATAGTATAAGGATTCGCTTAAAAGTCCAATTCTTTTCTTCGATAATTTTAATCGACGCGATTTTTCTTCAACTATTTTCGATAAAATTTCACCTAGCCTACGAAATTTTTCTTTAGTTTTTCTTGTTCGATTTTTTTGGGGTTTCTTTTACGTCGTGTTTTGGTTCAAAAGTCTTATTTTATTTTGTGTCACGTTACGTTTAAATTCGTTTTAAGGTCTCTACACACTTGCTTCGAAGAAAATCCAATTTTTTTTTAGTTGTCGGTGTGAGAGTGCCTTCAATACATCCTCTGTTGTTTAGTTATAAAATCATTAAAAAAATTCCTAGGCCATATGTATAAAAAATATGTTGAAGTGATTTAGTTACGTTTACGTTTTTATTTTGGAGTATAGTTTTTATTATTATATTGGTATTTTTCCTTTTTATTTATATAACGCATATATAATTACGGTGGGATCGTGTACAAACTCTAAATGTGATGATTATCCACGAAATTGGTTTTATCGATTTAAGATTACCTAAATGTAACGTTTTTTGAGGCAGCTCCTGATCGGGACCATACAAGAGTTTATTTTGAATTAATATATTATGCCAAAGATTTTCCAAAATGGATAAGGGTTAGAGAATATTCAGTTGATCTCTTTAAAAAATCTACGTGTTAGGCCAGTAATTATTATATTCGTTAAATTTCGGATTTCTAACAGGAATTTATTTACGTATAGTTTATTAGATAACATTCCTATTTCGAAATCGCTCTATAAGTAAGTTAATTATAAATACTGAATGCAACGTTGTTTGTCTTGTTCATTAAATGGATGATTCTTTTGATATATTTATAAATGTATAAAAAATATTTTACCTGTGATAAAATATTTTTTTATTCAATTTATACGAGTGCAATTAGCACAGTAAGCTAAAAACACATTTCACGTAATAAAATAGGGACACATTGCAATTTATAAATTCACGGTAATATTTCGGTCGCAAACGTTTGTTTATCCGAATTTAGAAATCGATATTTTTATATAAAAATTTAGTAGCGCTCGTTTTCTTAAAACCAATTTCCTGGCGACGTTTTCTCTTTCTGTTTCTTTTTCTTGTGCGATCCCACCGGACGTACGCAAAGCATGATTTTGAATTGTACCTTTATTTTCTATTGTTAATTATTAAAACCAAAGTACAGACCAAAAACATTTTCGCTGTTGTGTTTAATATTCGCAGGGACTTTATGTAAATGGCCCCCAAAACGAACATAACTCATTCATATTGCTGTCCATATGCGGAGCCCCTCGTATTTGCGTCGTGCGAGTGGCATAGCTTAAATTACTCACTTATTGTATTAGGAATTAGTTGCGGAGACGTTTCGTAATTAAAATTGTGCGTATTGAATATCGAATGCAAGTTTCTATTCGAATGAAATTACTCAATTGCAATTACTCATGTAAGGTACGTTGGATATGATTTTCCTTCTCTTGAATTTTCCGGGGCATTTCTTATTTGATAAATCATTAGTATAATCGCCCTTTAACGTGGCTATAAAGCCATTTGTGAGGAAACCGCTCGGACGGATTTTGGCGCTCGTTCAACGAGCTGTCGAAAAATTCTATTAGTTTTCGTCTGTCTTCGCTCATTATGTTTGTCTTGCCCATTTTTAAATCCCATTTGCTGCACCGGCTATTTCTCGCGCTGCCTGCCAGTAGCGTAACGTCCCCCCGATTTAATTTCCCACAATCCCTTTTTTATTGTTCGAAACGTTTTAATCCGCAACTAATTTGCATTCTGAACGATTTGCGAGAGCGGCGGTGTTTCGTTTGTAATTATAAATGCCGTAAACAATATTTTGTGAAGAAAAATAACTAGCATGCATACATCACTGCCTGATTACTAGTGGGCCAAAGCAAACGTCATTCCAAAACGGAAAATCTATTTTAGCTCTCCGCATGATTCACGTTCGAACATCCAAGAACAATGCTGTCAGGAATTGCGAAAAAATGTCGTGTCAATCTTATTTTGACACCGAAAATTTAGGCGAGCGCGATTTTTTTTAGATCGTCTTTATTTTTGGAAAAGTTTTACGCGCCCTGTAAGTACGAGATAATTAATGAACCGCGTGCACACCGCGAATTGAGGTGGGTAAAATATTCTCGCGCTCGAACGCGTAAGTGCGTTCAGAAACATACTATTTTGTTTCATTTTCCGCGTTACATAATGGAAATTCTTGGCACGTGGACAGTTGGTCAATTCAAAACTATGAAATTGCTGGTAAAAAATATTTGATTCTTATCTGGTAAACTGGTTGAGTTATGTTCGTTCCGTAGCCGTTTTGTGATACTTACCACTTTTTTTAGTTAGTGTAGCATATTCCGCAGCTGTTTTTTTTAGTGCTATAGTGCTGTATCACACATTATGTACTACCACCTATAGTGTCTACCAGTTTTTTTTACTGTGTCATATTTTTTTTCTATTCTACCGCGTACTGATGAGTGACTCGTGGCGTGGCTTCTGTCTATGTCTACTAATGTTTTGTCTACATTTACAGTAAGTGGCTATCATCTACTAACCGTTTTTAGCCTAGCTATTTCTTGAGTGAATTCGGCTGAATATCGATTAATTTATCTATAAAATCAATATCCAGTGGAAGGTCAATAAAATTTTACTAACTTTCTCCTCTCTTGACCACACAATTCCAACCCGCAACCTGTACTACCTGCAACCACCCTCGTATATACGACTTCCCGTTAACCCCAAATAAGTCGTGCCTCTCCTGTAAATCGTCCTGATTAAATAAATTTCAACCGAAATCCCCCGAAAAACCGGAAGCTATAATGTTCGGAGCTCTTATCCGTAATCTTGAAAGATGTCTCTGGTCGCTTTCTTACCTGTGGAGCCCTTCTAAATTCACCTTATTTTATCAGCCCCATCTCGAGCGTTTTATGTAAACATCGCACGTGCAAATTTATTTAAAGCAATAATTAAAATTGAAAAAAGAAATAAATTGCCGGTTTTTTAATTGATCGAAATTACGCCTCTTCGTTTCATCAATGCGAGCGACTTTCTGGAATGCGCTTCATCAATTTCATTAAAAAAATTCGACCTTTGTATCATTTCGATTGTGCGTTTTCGACGGTAATTGTTGCATATTTCAATTGAAAATAGCGATCAAAAATACGAGAACAAATAAAATAAAAGCGGAATTCGATAGAAAGCACACACAGTGTATCCAAATAAATGTCCGAATATATAACTGATTGGTCGAAAAATGCGCTACGGGCCCCTAAAATAAATACTAGCGAAATAAAATATTAATCCGCGAGCAAATTTTAATCGTGTAAAAATCGCATTATCGAATCGAATGTTATACTAGGATTGATAGTGTTTAATTTGCTCTATATCGGATGGTGTCAGAATTAATTATAAATCAGAAACATCTATTAATGTTATTTACTTACCGCTTGGTTATAAGTTACCGATTTAACCAACACCCCTAACTAATGAAACGTTAATGTTCGAACCCGTTTTTCCCGGGAAGAGCCTCCGAGCATTTCAGCTTTCAAACCGACTATTACGCTGTTGTTAGTAATGTAAATAAATATTGTACTAATCCGTTTTAATTACTATTAGTATTTAACCGTGTCAAATATTTGTATCGATTAACTGTTTTTATTATTTTCTAATGCATTTTTATTTTATTTAGGTATAGGTGAAACAGTCGTCGATTTTTTTTAAAGCACGAGCAGGTTTTGCCTGAATCTTCCTGTCGATTTGTCGTTATTGCTTGCTTGTAGAGAATACCGCGTTAAATGTGCAATTGCGTAAAAGGGAGGTCAATACACGAGCTTTTGCACAGAAAATACTATGTTGCGTTGTATTAAATTTCGCTTATTATAGTATAAACAGTTCAGTTTTCTCGGTTATCTGCAAATGAAATATTCCCAATGTCTTGTATCATTGTAAAATGAATAATAAAACAAAGCGAGTTGAACGCGCGCCAAATAATCCGCAGGTGTTTTTAAATGAAATTTTGTACTTTTTGTGTTTATAAAAACACGGTTTTTCCTGTTGTAATTTATTTAAAAAAAGCTTTGATAAAAATCTTTAGTCAAATTTTAATTATATAACAAACTAATCCGAAACTCTAAAAGAGAAGAAGGAAAAATGTTATTAAAATAAATATGTTTTTGCACCTTCCTGTTTAATAACTAAAGAGACTTGTTTATTAATTAAAAAAATCGATAATTCATTAGGCTAATAACGCAATACGACAGTATTTTAAATGTATTCGTTTCGAAAATTGATAAAACAAACATGCTTGTGCTTTTATAATTAATACAAAAAGGAGTTTTTATATCGTAAAAATAAAAACTCCTTTAAAAAATCGTTCGTTTAATGTTCGTCGTAAAATCGAGTAAAGTTTCCATTCAATTAAACTTCTTTTAACAACTTTTGCATTAGAAAGAGGAAATTTTATGCAGGTTATACGGACGGCAATTTTTCTTTATTGAAATACCTCTTTTTCCAAAGACTTTAACGATTTTTCTCTGTGTAGGTCTTCGTTTCGGAGTCGAGTCTTCAAAATTTTGAGGCTACCACCGTTGTTGACGCTCCGTCGAAAACTCGTTTTCAATGCGCTGTCACTGTACGAACGTTGAAAAATTGGTTTTTTCTGAAGCCATCAGGATACTGACATTAAACTATTTTTGGAGGACACTTTGATATTTTTGTAGAAAAACGGAAACATCAATAAAATGATGTTCGAGTATCTCGCATTTTATTTACAACACTATTTGAAGGGGGCGGGTATTATTTTACGAACAGTTAACTAACAAATTTTCATCTTACTCTTAAGAACGCCATTGGACTTTTAAACAGAAAATTGAACTTTTTTTAACGAAGAAAGAATTGATTGAATTAAATTCTACATAATTACCGCTCATTGCCTTTTGCTATGAAGCTGGCTCATCGAAGCTGCAGTACTGGGGGTCTTATGCACTGTCGCCATGTTGAATTTCTTCAGCGGAGGAGCTCCCGACGGAGGTCCCATACCAGGAGACGGTCTGTAAAATCCAGTACCACCATGTAAATGCTGGAATAAAAAAAATAATTTAATTTACAACAATGCAATCCCTTTTCAATGATATGTTTTTTACGCATGTAAAACATTAAAGGCATGATAAAGAGAACAGAAAAGAGTGGAAAAACTACTGCAAACTGGATCAATCTTACAAATTCAGCGTTGGATGTTGGATGAGTAAAGTAAAGAGCCACTTCTAACTCCACTAGTACTTCAAACGTTTAGCGAATTTCAGCGAAAAAAAACGGCGAGCCGTAGATTTCACAGGTATTTTTAACTTTGTTACTTATTACATGCAAGCATGATAAAAATGCGTAGCAGCATTAAAACTTCATTGTTTTTAGTATTCTACAAATGTAACTATTAGGATATTATTTATATTAAAAACATTATGCTGGTTATTATTCGAATGTAGGTATCCAATAAAAAGTATTAATTACACCAAACAAAGAAACCGTATAAATTGTCTACCACTCCTAACTAGACGCCAGGAACGGAACTATTATTTATAATCCTTATTTTAAAAAAAGTTCCTCAATAAATCAATCTTTTATAGCAAATAAATAAAAACTAGAGAGAAAACATTTCTATAATAACGCCATTAGTGAGTAAAAGCAGTCTATAAAAACCTTGTCAAAAGTAATACAAACGTTTTATAGACTACTTATTAATCAATATTGTTATTAATGACACAAACATTAACGTCCCTCCACGACAAGAATCCACAGAACAATATTCACGTTATTATTTCAAAGAATCTTGAAACTGGTTTCTCTAGTTACTCACAAGAATTTTACTCCAAAACAACATTAGCTCGGAAACCAAATGAGGCGTAAACATTTAGGCAGTAAAAAGGTAGGTAATTCGATATCAGTATTCAGTAACTTTCAGTGCAAACGTCATATGTTTTCTAAATGCATAAACCCAGTATAAACGGATGATTTAGAAGGCGACTTTAATTACGCGTCAATTCTAATTAGGTCGATTCGATCGATACCTCACGTCGAAGTTCACCCATATTTTTTTTATTACGGCGCTGCCTTACCATGGGTATACCTTTCTTTGATGTTACAAAGGTCTTTATTAGCTCTATCACTTATGCAGGCGATGTGGTAATATCCACTTGCGATTGCTTATTTATGATAATTAGGTTTACAAAATAGTACAGCTACAAAGAGGTGAAGAAATGTTTGAGTTTGTTATTACGCGTCGACAGGGTCGAACTTGGGATACGAATTTTTTTTATAATAAATTAGTTATGTAAATGTTTCGAGTTTTATTTGGATCAGAAACCTCATTTTCTAACGTAAATATCGACAGAAAATACCGCTAGTAAAATTGCGCATTGACGCCTCGTCTAACGAGTATGATGGGTTATTTTTAAAAGCAAGTGTTCTTGTTTTTGTGTTAATTATTTATTTTTAATGATTTTCTAGTTAGGTTAATTGTGTGTAATTACTTTTCACAGTTAATATGATTCGAAATCGACTCTTATCCATTACACAGCTCGAAGAAAGAATGGGTTAGATTGTTTTTTTTGCTTCGCACAACGTTATTTTCTAATTATTTTAAGGATTATACAACTTTTACTTATTAAGCACGGTTAACAAAGCATCCATTTACTTCGAAATGTAATCAGAAAAAGGGTTGTGAATAGGAAATTCGCAATTACCTAGTTCACTTCGAAACAAGGTTTCTCGAACTTTAATTAAAACAGCCTTTTATCCAGCGTAAGCGTTATCAAATAATGTTAAAATTTACGATCGAAACTATAACAAACCCATAAATAACCTTCTTAATTACTTCTCTGTTTCTGTATACTGGTCTGTACGTATCTAAGCTCGGCTCAACTCAACCGTATATTATTAAAATTGATGTAAATGCCGATTTTCTGGAGAAACTTCCACGGTAATTCGATTTATTCGTTAGCTTGACAGTCATAAAAACAAAACAGCGATGAATAGTAATTAATAACACTACAGTTTCCCGGTAAGGAAGTGTGCAGCAATAAGTCATCTCTTTTTATTACACAGTCAACTGCACTCGTGTATCTCTTTTTCGGATGAACTCCAGCACGGTTATCCTGAAAATGTCATTTTCAGGAATCCTTACGAGCGACATATCCCGATTTTTCCCGGTTATTCGTCAACACTTGACGTCATTCGCCGAGTCACGTCTCCAGCACACACATACACTGAGCGTCGAATGATGATCCCACTTCTGATTTTGGAACGGTTTTTATTGCCCAACGTATAAAATCGAAGTGGTTTCTTGAAATACACAAAAAAACCGTTCTCTCGTCTAACAAGGGGAAGCAAAAATTGCGAATTATTAACTATTTTTTATTGTTGTTATTGTGTATTCGTGCATAAATGGAATAGGGCGGAACATACTCGTGCCGGTTTCGGCGATTCTTCGCGTACCCGCCGGGGCAGTTATGGCAATAAACAGCGGATGATCCCACTTCTGAATGTCTCTGCGCTTAAATTACGGCCCTTTTTTACCGTCGAAAATATATGCTCTAATCTAGCATCGGCAATGATTGATTGGGCCATAAATAAGCCGATATAGCCGGTCCGATGGCACGTACGTCCCGACAATCCGACCAACAGTGTTTTTTGTTATTTTGCGACGAATGCCATTTTGCCATTTCGCCGCTGGAAGCTGCATGGCGATTTTAAAAAGTTACAAATCCGACCGATTAAATCGTCGAAAGTAAACAATAAACATTAACACATCCGTCGCATACATTGACCCGATCTAACCCCCCATTAAAATTCGCGACGCTCTCGGCTCCGCACTTGCATAACAATGCAAACCTCACGTCCGAATACTTTCGGTCGACCGGAGGCGGTCGTAAAAAGTACTACCGGGGAAAAACCAAACGAACGACAACGGAAGATTTTCGCGTAACGGAATTAACACGCTTTCCCTCGTACGGAGTATTTTGTAAGTACTTACTTCTCCTGTTGCTTAATGACCGGCGACGAATGGAAAACCGGATGGCGATTTTTCGTTTTCCACGATGCCGTCGGACGTGCAGGTACACCCGTTCTCGAGATCGTAAAGTGCACGTACGACTTCCTAGTGCTCATATTTCCACGTTCCATTTAAGCAACAATGTGTCTCTTTTCACGGCGAAGTTGTAAAAATGTAGGAAAATTTCGAATTTGGTTTTCAAATTAGTGGTGTCGTCTGACGTCGGATATACGGAGCTCGCTCTATTTAATCTCCATCGTTTTTGAGGTCTTTCGTAGATGACCTAGTAACTACATTTTAGCACCCACTTACGCAATCTTGTAATTATTCTGTTGTATAATTTACGAATTTTATTGTTCGCTAAAGCTTGTAAGGAGAGTTTTGTTAGAATGTTTGCACGTACACATGTCGCTTTATATAAAACAACAAGGGTAGTTTACATTGTAACTGTATACACGTTAATAATCGGGCGAAACATTGTTTGAAATTGATAATGGTTGCGTATTCAAACAATGTCCGCTAGGGTGTGATGTCGGCGCTACCACAATGCGTTCGGTGTAATATTTACTCGGTTATTTTTATTTCGAACGTTTAATTCACCGAAATGGAATTACGGGAGTAATTTCTGGATTAGCGCATAAATTTTATTCCTCTCCTATTTCCTATACGGAACGACTTTTACCTTCGCGTATTTCTCTAACAATGCACTGCGTTTTATTATATATTCCCATTTCGGAAAATTGTATCTATACACAGTAATAAAATAGGACAATAAGAGATAAGAGCCCGAATTATAAGGAAATTCTATAAAATATTTCTGTCGTGTTCTCAAAGAGCCAATATCGCCTTCGATATATCGACGATTTCAATCCCAGTTTTACAACTACAATTTAAGGATAATTCTTATGTTCGTCCATAAAATTTTTATTGCATATTCACAAAAGGGACAAAGGTAGTTTAATAGTAGGGAATTGTTATCGGAAACCCATATTCCCTAATACAATGTTATCACCAAGATCTGTACCTCTATGTATGTTAAAAACATAACTTTATTAGTCGTTTGTAATAATAAAAAGCACATACAACGGAAAACATTTCGAGGTATTTTTAAAGAATAAAAAAGAGACCAACAAATTTTCAGGAAAATAAAGCTCGACGCGAAAATGCTGCATAAAAACGTAGGTTATGCAGACCGCGATTACTTCGAGCAATTTTCGTCGTTGTAAGGACTGCACGACGTCGGTTTCGCGTTGCATTTATTTCTTTTGAGTCGTGCCTCTTTTCTCTAATTGAATGTTTCTGCTTTTATCTGGATGACGTGACGTGAATAGCGCTCGATGCCCGATCCACGAATTCGCCCCCGAAAGCGCTCCACCCCGCTATATACGTAAACCGTAAACCCAGTTCCTTTTCTGAGGGTTAACCGAAACAAAAAGTCTTTAACTGCTAATTATGCATTCAATGCGATTTTATACACCAATTAAATTTATAAAATGGTCCGACTGTTGATTTATATTATTCATCTTTATTAGCTTCTTTTTTTTGTCTATTATACACACCTATTATGGTATACATGGTGGTTTTAATAACATGCTAATACTGAAGGGATTGTTTCTTGGACCCATTATAAGAAAAAAAATTCATAAGAACGTTTGTGAACGGGGCCTTCAAATAATATTTTTTTTCTTTATTTTTTTTATTTTTTTATTTTTTCTTAAAATTTTTAACACCCTATATCTCAAAACTTAAGACGTTTTGGACATAGGTTCATTTGAAGTTTTTTTCTTAAAATGGGCCCAAGAATCACCCCCTTCAGTATTAGCATGTTTTTAAAAAACACCCTGCATATTCTAATTGATTATCGATTGTTTTTGGAATAGATCAAGGGGCCTTAAAGGAATTTGCGCTGATTCTGTTTCGATTTGTGGCGATTACCAGTGATTTAGCACATGACATAGATTTTACATACGTTACATTACGTTACGTACGCACGACTAGGCGGGTAACAGCACGAGCTTTTGAAGTTACAACCGCGCGAAAATGAAAGGGTGTTGCGTAATCCGAATAAATTTTCCCACGGACGTGGATTAGTCGCCTCTAATAATTCGAGAAATTTCCTATTGGGTCCGTACGTTAAATGCTAATTGTACGTAACGCCCGTGCGACAGCGAGACACGAATATCGCGTGTGTCAAAGTCGAAAATCAACTTTTATATTTTTCCCAGATTTCTATCGAACTAATTCGACATCGACGATAATAGCACGGTGTCGTTCGTTGCATAACGGCCGCTAAAAGCGCCGTGTCACATCCCCCTTTCGCTGTTTTTTTTTTTCAATCGTGATATTCGTTAGGGTCGTTCAGTTATTCGATCGACGCGACAACGTCCAATTATCAATTATTTTCCGTACGATTCGCGAATCCATACGTGTCAGTGACGCAATATATGAATTGTCTACAGTTTTTGCGTTGTACGAGTATGCACCTAATATTGTCCGGGCGGCCGAACGTGACGAATGGAGTAATAAAATAAAAGTGTTAATGGCGTATTTACATGCTTAAAGCCAAAAACCGGCGACAACTTTTCATTAAATTCGACTTCATAATTTCATACACCGTTAACTTGATTACAAGAATTATGATCACTAAAGCACAACTCAAGAAGGACTCTAAGAAAGTGTAGGATACACCTCCAAAGAGTAAAATTAATGCATTTTTTTATTACAATTTATTTGTGAAAATTCAGTTGGTTGCGATCCGTTTTGTTCCAATATTGGTGGATGATTTTAACAAAAAAATTGAATAGGAATTATTCAGGAAAAAAAAAACAAACGGTGTACCGAAATTGGGTTTGCGGAAGCCATTAATCCGTAATAAAATCGAATATATTATGTACAACACGGATAGGTTAGGTAGCATACGGGTGTTTTATTCCAAATCAATTATCTCCGGTTTTTTTTTTCATTTTGTTTTGTGCGTATACTCGCGTAAATAGATTAGGATGGTTTTAAGGGTCGCTTGCGGATGGTAAATCGATTGAGATGTTTTATTTTTTTACATTTTGGGGTAGATTTTTATCATATACTTAATTCTTGGATTCAAATTAGTTTAAATGCAATACACTAACTTTACTGAAAATATTGTTGAGCAATATGAAAAATGAACTACTTGAATTATGCATATGCTATACCAGCAAAAGTTGGTACAGCATCGTTAGAGCTCATACTGTCATAATAATGTTATTATGAAACCACGCTGAGTGACGGAACGAATGTTTTTGTACACATTTTTTTTATTTTATCTGTTTGCATTCGTACGGTGGCAGGAATAACAATAATGCACATTACATTGCGAATTATGCTAAAAATGTCTACTTTTACGTACATTTGGTACGGAATGAAATATTACCAATGATGGCCTTTTTAGAGTACATAAAAATTCGTTTTAAATAAATTTGGTAGAACTAGATTATAAGTTCCTTCGGTATAATTTTGTTAAAAATCAAATAAACGGATTCGCGTTCCGGAAAATGTCGGTAATCCTCGATGAATTTTTCACGTCGCCTCGAACGGTCCTGTCGTGTATTCCTTTGGCGTTCTATAATTACCGGATGAATAAAAAACGAGTAGCGGCGGAGAGGTTATTTTCGAGAAATCGAACGGCATTTTTAATTCAGCAGGACGTATTTTTTGCTCCAAATTATCCTTCCTGCACCTGTCACGCCACGTCAAAGGCGAACCTTTGTGAAACATTTATCAGACCGCTGTGTTGCTGTCTGCGATAGGGAGGGAAATTTTCCAACATGAAATCCGAAAAGAAGATAACGCCGCGTTCGGTGATATTTCGCCCGGTGCTCCTTTAAATCGACTTGAATTATGCATCAAAACCGTTTAAATTAAAAAGTTTCGAATGCGGGAAACGGTGTTTGAGTTATAAGGTGTTTTTTGAACGTAATTTGCCAATCAGTGTGTGAAGATTTTTGCAAACACCTCGTGGATTCGTTAATAGGATATCAGTGAGTTTGAAATAAAATTTGTACACCTAACACGCCGATAATTATAATGATAAATATTTAATCGGGTAATTGAGAAACCGTGTTAGCTTTATAACTTGTCTACTTAATTTGGCCTTGTACTATTGATTATTTGTCTAATTGTTTATACGTAAGAAATAAATCCTGCAAATGCTTAATTTTCCATAATAAATCAAAAAATACTACAACACCTACCTAATCTTTCTCTTTTGTTTTATCGTTTTAAGTAAATAAATAAAAACTTAGCACCAACTGATCGAATATAAAAGAATTAAATCCATCTTAACCGCCTTTTTTTCGCTTTTCCAACATCATTTCCTGTTTTCCTATAATAAAATTTCCAAGAGATTCATTCGATTCGAACTCTCGACCGATTTCCACGGGATTTCTTCCTTTACCTCTACGATATCCTGGCCGTTTCTGTTGCTGCAAGGCGCGGAATCGTATTATCGCAATAATTTTCAATTCGTTTTGTTTGAATTAAGATGGTATCGGTGTTTTCGTGCTCGGATTGCAGGAAACAAAATACGTGACGCGTTTTTAATGATTTCCTCAGGATCTGCTTCGATTCTACTCTGTTGCCAAACCCACCCAAAAATACAAGCAAGCACACACAAAACTAGTTTGTCTCTTATTCAGGTCTGATGAAGATGGTACTAAATTGGTTAATGATGAATAATATAATTAGATGAATAATTGAACTCACCGGTTGGTTTTGAGGAATGGATAGGCCTCTTACGCCGCTTCTGTCTAGCGATCCTTGGACTCGACGAGCGAAGCCGGGGATAGGCGTGGATTTTACATTAGGAGTGAAGGATGCAACGGAAGACACGAAGGACATGTCATCGGATATCGATGGAGAGAAGCTGTCAGAAGTCGGGTAATAGGAGCCCTGCTGGCGATTGTTGTTCTGAAATAGTCACGATAAATTATAGGCTTATGGGAGTACAAGAAACGTACCATCAGCATGCCCCTCATCATTTTATTCTCGCTCAAGATTTCTTTGGTTTTTTGGTGGTAGCAGAACATTTCCTTCTTGAGGAACTGGTACTTCTTCAGCTGGCATTGGAAGAGCCTTTGTCTGTGCATCGATTGGAAATTGAACACCTGGAAGTATGATATTTAAAAATTTAAATCCAGGGGAGTTTATTACTCTTTTAAAAGTACCTCTTGTAGTTTTTTCAGGTGGGATTCGAATGGTACAAAGAATGGTTGGGCAGAGCTGTGCATATCTTTGTCGATTAGTATGAAGTCGTTTGGTTTGTCGCAAATCAAGCATTTTGAATCGCCTGAAAATGAAAATTGGAATATACAGAGTGTCCCAGGAATGATAGATTTAAATTAAGGGATAACTAGACTAATAGGTACATCAGTAAGGAACGCGCAACAGGAATAGCTGGAAATGCACAATTTGCTATATTAAATACATTCAACCTAAATACGTATGTGTTATTTATTTATAAAAAATAAATGATCTAATTTACTCCTATACCTGGGTAACTCAAATGTAACTTTCGGTAATAAATGATACATTTACTTGTGATTATTACGAATGGTGCAAACTAATGCGTAATTAGTGAGCATAATTAGGGTGCATAAACAGTAAACAACAAGTTGTACTTACGAATTTGTTTTATGCAGTTGCCGCATAATATGTGGGCACATTCTATTAAATAAAATTTTATATCGGCTTGATAGCGCGTCAAGCATTGGTTGCAATGTAACCAATCGTTCATTTTTTTGGTAATTTAATTTAATTTTTTTGGGAAAATGAGAGAAATCGAGTAAATTCGGAAGTGTATCAGTGATGACATCTGCACAGGGTGAAGTGAAGTTTTATGACATTATTACAGTTTTCTACTTTATCGACTTATACCAACATAAGTAGTTTAACTTTAATTCTTATTTAAAAAACATTTATACACAAAATTAAGCGGAACAACCGATTAATTTCTTGTTTAAATTCCAAGCGAACCATTTCTCTACACAATTTATCCCTAAATTAAAAGTTTACTTTTTCACTATATCAAATTAATGTTGGCTAACCTGTGTAATCATAATCAATTTAGTTTTTAGGTTATGTTTTTGACGTTCGGAAGAGCTTCGCCCTTTATTTTTGAATTTTGAATAAATATTTATGTAAAATGAATTGATTCCATTGGATTATGTTGGCTGTACACCGAGATGTGCTTAATATTGTTCAAGCTAAATTCCTCTCCGCCGAAATCGTCCGCAGCGTATCCTTTTTATCGTCAATTCCTCGTTGACGTTTAAGTTCGAGCTTCTTTATATTTTTCCTAAGTTTACGTTAGATTCATCTTAATGTTTTTACATTAGAAGAGGTTTGGTCTAACGAAAACCGGATTTTGGCTTTAGTTGAATACAACAAATCATTCGCCCTGTTCGTTTTAATCGCATCTAAGCAAAAACCCACCAGCATTTCAGATCTTTCCGTAGAAACTGTAATTCCAGTTGATGAATTCTTTTCTTGCGGTAATTAAACCAAATATATTCAGTACTAACGGTTTTAATCATCACTTTTGTTATTTTAGATACTGAGTTAGTAGAAGAAAGCCAAAATCATATAATATTTATTATTACGTACAAAAAAATTAAGCGAGCCTTCAAAATAGAAATAGGACTAGAGAGTTCTAATTTTGCCTCAGAAGTTATACGCTCTAAAGAACGTAAGTTATTGAATTTCTCTAATATACTAATTTACTCATATTAACATCCTATTCGTAGATTCTCTTTATAATAAGCCAAGTTTCGTTTGGTTAGACAAATACATAGGTACTATGAGTCAACCTAGTCGCTCAGATGTATCCGAACAGGACGATTTACCTATTACAAGACATCAAATCGCTCAGGGACAAACTTCCATTAACAGGGAATCGATGTTAAAATACCATTTAAAATTAAAAGAAGCCGAGTACACTCAAAAGCAAGAGTTTACGTAAGTGTATCGAGTGCATTGTTTGATTGATTTCTAATACAATTTTACATAGAATATTCGTCGGGACGTGGAATGTAAACGGTCAACCTCCCACCATACCTCTTAGCAATTGGTTAGCATTTGATGATAACCCACCGGACTTGTACGCTATAGGTTTCCAGGAAATCGATCTAAGCAAGGAAGCCTTTTTATTCAACGATACACCAAGAGAAGCAGAATGGCAGTAAGTACAATAAAATTTACCTTTCCTCCTATACACAATATTAATTGTTTCAGTAAGTTCGTGACTGAAGGGGTTCATCCGAAAGCCAAATATAAATTAGTCGGATTGGCGAGACTGGTTGGCATGCAGTTGGTTGTGATGGTGAACAACAAGCACTATCCATACGTTAAAAATATTTCTGTGGACACAGTCGGTACCGGTTTATTGGGCAAAATGGTTGGCTGTATAACTTAGAGGTTCTTCCGATTAAAGAATGTTTTTCAGGGTAACAAAGGCGGGGTAGGTGTTAGACTGGAGCTTCACAACACTTCTTTGTGCTTTGTAAATTGCCATTTAGCCGCCCACGTGGAGGAATTCGAAAGGCGAAATCAGGATTACAAAGATATTAACGCTAGAATGAATTTTAGAAAAAGTCCCCAAGCGATAAAGGACCACGAGTAAGTTTCCTTTCGAAATAATTAGAATCAATCACAATAAACAATAAAGTTTTATTGCTTTTTTACAACTTCGATACACGATTCAATTTCTAATGCAGCAGGTTTTAATTCAACACAATCGCCGCTTTACCTATAGGTAATAAAGATTTCTTGATTTTTTCAAAGGCAAATTTATTGGCTGGGAGACCTCAATTACCGCATAACAGAACTGACCACAACGCAAGTTAAAACGCTGCTATTAAGAAATGAAATGGTCACGTTATTGAAAGCCGATCAGCTCAATCAGCAGAAGGAAAGAGGAAATGTTTTGTTGGTAAGTTATACGCTGAATTATCCTGCTCAGGTGGTTACATTCTAACTATTAAATACAAGTAATTGTCGGTGGAAACACGCACATTTTCTTACGACCTTTTAAATAAACCACTAACCGGTCCTAAAAAATTATAATTAAAACCGCCGACATTTATATGATTTGCTTATCGCTCCAAAACGACCACGACGTTTCGCGAGTCAATTACAACAACAATAAGACATTATCAAATATAGAACGGCGACTTACACAACAGATAACGAATTTAGTGTGGTGAGTAATGCGGTGTTAATTACAATTCAAAAGGCATTCAGTGTATTTCAAGTTTTCCATCCGCTCGAGTCGTTTGACGGAGAAATCGATTTTAAATCGCACGATTAGCGTCGTGACGAACGCGCGGATTTTTTTTTCAATTTTTGTCGTCGATTGAAATTGTTTCGTTCGTTAGGATTACGAGGAAGGCGATATAAGTTTCAAGCCGACTTATAAATACGATTTGCACAGCGACACATTCGATACCAGCGAAAAGGCGAGACCTCCGGCTTGGACCGATAGAATCCTCTGGAGGGGCAGAGGTAAATAAATAATAGACTTATCACTTCGTATATTTTATTATCGCTATTTATTTAAGGTATATACCAAGTGGCGTACAGGAGTCACATGAACTTGCGCATCAGCGACCACAAACCGGTGAGTGCTCTCTTCAAATCCGAAATCAGCGTGATCGATCCGATCAAATACAGGAAAGTCCACGAAGATTTGATCAAGAAGATGGACAAATTCGAAAACGAATATTTACCTCAAGTTACGGTTGATCAAACCGAAGTTGTTTATGATTTGATCAAATTCAGGGAGCCGCAATCGAGGGAAATCACAATAGCTAATACTGGAATGGTGCGTTAACTGCTTAAAAACGCGTTTAGTTTGTACAATCTTGTAATTTGTAGGTACCTGCGGAGTTCGAATTCATTAAGAAACTAGATGAAACGAGTTATTGTAAAGATTGGTTAAGAATTATACCGTATTGTGGCAATATTAATCCAGGTAATACGCTATACGATTTCGATTATTTTGTGTTAAATCTATTGATTGTAGGTGAAAAATGCGATGTAAAACTCGAAGTTAATCTCGAAACCGATCATCAAAAACTCTACGATATTCTCGTATTGCATCTAAAAGACGGGAAAGATATGTTTATAATAGTTAGCGGGGAATGCCAAAAATCTAGTTTCACATCGCCCATTTCTCTGCTGTGTCGAATATCAGTACCTGTAATGCAGGTTCCTGAAGAACAGTGGAAATTAGCGGTACATATAAATAAGTTTGCTAGCTTCTTTTACTTTAAATAATGATTTTACTTTAGGAAAAACTCGAATCTAGCGTTAGGTATTCAGTTCCAAGGGAATTATGGCTGCTAATAGATCATATCTACCGACATGGCATGAAAATTAGAGACTTATTTGAATCGAGCGCCCTTCACGAGGAAATTATCAGAATTAGGGATTGGTTGGATTTTGGATCTTTAGATCCGTTTCGTATCCTTTCCTAAATTTCATCGATTGAGATTATTTTTAAATGTTTAATTCCTTAATATTTAAACTAGCTGGAACTATTCAAGCCGCTGCGGAAACCCTGCTTTTATTCCTGTCTTATACTAAAGATCCTGTGATACCCTACGAGTTGCACGATACTTGCATAGCTGCTGCTAGTAATTACCAACACTGCAAACAGGTATGATATAAGTCTAGAATTATTAGGGGTGATCTGATGTAAATTCTCTTTGCAGATTATTCTCCAAAAAGTACCAGATTTGCATCGAAACGTTTTCCTCTACATCTGTTTGTTCCTGCAAGAGTTATTGAAATATCAAAACGACAACGGCTACGACGCGAAGACTCTTGCCTCGTTGTTCGGCGATATTCTTCTCAGAGACCAAATCAGGAATTCCAAGCCCCAAGCTAGTCGGGGAAAGGCGAATTTCATATACAATTTCTTGGTAAACGATCTGAGCACTTCCATAATACCTGCGAAATAACAACGTACTTATTGCCTTCTGCACCTAAGCACTATTTTACATTGATAACACCAAGAACATGTAACGATTGACAATATCATTGTTCTTGTATTTATTTGTTACTAGGGACCTAGTTTATAGTACTCTTAGAGTACCTCACGCCAATTTGCCAGTATTTTTGTAAGTAATTTTATTAATTAGGAGCAAACTGTTGAACAAATAAACGTTGATTATAGTTTGTTGTCTAATTATTTTGAACCATTTGGAAAACATATTTCTTCAATTTTTATTATTACATATAAATATTTACAACGAATTAATATTATTAGGATTGCGATGAAGCTGACCATTTGTTCCTTCCAGGGTAATTTTCAATAGTAAGTGCCTTACACCTTCTAAGCTTAACATTTATGCTTTCGTCTTCTCCTTTCACTTCTACAATTTCTATTCGGGCTACAATTAAAAAATTTGGGTTCGTAGGGCTCACACCTTTGACTACATCGATTTCGTCCCCTTCATAAACGCTTGTACTCTTCTTAAGTAACTTCTCCCCGTTCACTCTTATATTGCTACTATAAAAGAGGGTTTCTATTCTATTCCTCGACAGTCCCAGGCCTGTTTTGAGCAAAGCATCCACTCTTAACGAAGGAACACTAACGTTCATGGTTTTAGTGTGTTTATCTTTAATAATATCGAATAAATCCTCTTCCTTATCCTCTTCTTCGCTCTCCGATGCGGCGGCATTGCGCGAAAATTTACTTTTACTGTCTTTACTTTTGTACCTCACTATCAGATTTTGGTAATCTTGGTTATGAAAAGTGGTTACTGCTGGTAGAATGAAAGAGTTGCCGTGTAACGGTTTCTTGATTGTGTTGTCTAATATCAATTGAAATGCTTTTCTCGTGCATAATCTACGAAATAAATAAGACATTGCTGTAGGAAAACAGAAAATAAGAATATTCAGTAGTTCATAACCTTACTTATTTAAAAAAATGTTACGTCAGTGTCAATTGTTGGTCTTGTTCGTGGCGTGTGTACAGCGAGGAAGTTATTTTTAGATAAAGGATAGGATACTGTGTGAAAAGGGTAACAATGAGTAAGTGAAAGGATAGATGTCAGTGCAAGCAAGGCATCTAGATTAACGACCTTTTAAGTATTCAAAAGCGCATGCTGGTTTTCCGTCTCGCTCTAACTCACGCTTAACCGGCTTTTCGTTTTCCGTGTTTCATTCGACTCGGGCTAGCATTTGTTTTTGTCTGACAGTCTTCGCATACAATCTTGGGTTATATGTGTGTCTTTTGTGTCTTCCAGTTCCGATATTTGACAGAAAATAAAAGGGAAATCGCACGTCTCTTGACTGAAGACCGCTCAGTAAATTCCCTGTGATCAATTATTGTGGGTGTTTCAGTGATCCGAGTGATTTTCATCGGGATCGGTTGCGGTTCCGGCCCACCCCCGCCTCTGATTTTTGTTTTGGTTGTATACGGTTTTTTTTGTCGCAAGAAAATGGGAACTTATTCGCTGATTTAATCGCCGGGAAGCCGAAATTGTTCCCTCTGATATGTAAATAAGGTACGTAATAGATTTTTCTTGTAAATTACCGTATTAATTCTTGCGAGAATTGGCTGCATGTGTGGCCGGATCGAAGGCCAGTTTTTCGAAAGGTACGTTTTCTCAGTTTTCTGGTATTGTAGAATTTTTATTTCCCAATCGTTTATTTCGACCGGCTATTTTTAAATCCGACTCGCATCAGTCACATCTAACGTTTGTTTAACTTCTTAAGTAGACGGTTTGAAATAGAATTTAATTTTCTTCATTAGTTGGGGAAATTGTTTTTTATATTTAGTTTTCGTTAAAGTTGCCTGAAAAATATTCTGGCAAGAAATTGGATTGTTGGTTTCATTTAAAATGTATTTTTCATGCTTTTTTTGCTCAAAAAGCACCTATTGTAACCAGCGTAATATCACCATCAAAAACCTCTATTGTTTACCACAAAATGACTCTATATACCTTCTCATAAGTATTAATACTTTTTCAATCCATCATTGAATATGAAAAGAAATCCCAAACAAAGAAACCCAGCGAAACAAATAAAAGAAACCCTCGATATTTGCGAACCTTGCTCGTTCCTTCTTTCTATATTTAGGAAACGAAAGACTAATCTAACTTTTCCCCAATAATCCAACACATCCAAAAATTCGGCAATACAGTTATTTATTGGCCCTCGCTAGTGGAGCAAGTTAAATATTTACGGGTTCCTTTTTCTTGTATTTCGTAAATTACTTTTCCCCAGGCTCTCCAATATATCCACTTCCACGGAACTACTTAAGAGGCGAGAAACAATGCAGAATGCAGATAATAAAATAACAGATTTTTAACAATCCGCATTCGAAAACCTCTCACCTGTATTTCGAAAATGCATTTATCGAGCTAATTCACCTGTTTCTCGTTTCTCTTGTTCGGCGTTCGGCACGCGGCAGTGTTTTGCTCGCTTTACCCTCGAAAACTGAAAATGAAAAAGGAACGGATAGATAGACAGGGAGAACGTGGAAGGGCAACAACCTTTATTGCAGGAAGAGGCAATTCATAGTCAGAATCGGTCGATTATCATGCGAAATATTTATACTTTTACCATGTGTGTTTACGAATAAATATGTCTGTATTATTATTGAATAAAAATTAGACTGTTCTTTTTTGTGCATAAAAATAGAATGGTAGCGATTTTGCGGCTCGAGTCCAGCCCTGTCAAGATCGAAGTAGATTTTGATAAAAGGTAAATCTGGACGGAGAATTGGCCGTAATCGAGATGGCCTATTGAAGTCTGCAGAAGACATCTTCATTGGCCTGTTTGGGACCGAATTTGATTTTATTTGTCGCGGAATTCAGACATAAAAGCGGTTTCCAGATAGATTTCTTTATATTGCGGACTCGACGACTGTGATGAGGAAATGAAATAGAAAAATCCAATCCAATCCAAAGAATTTGTTATACTTGAACCAAATAAATAACATTTCATTAATAATTACCGATTTATTTACATTCTACGACGTTGACACTAATAAATTTTCTCCGAAAACATTTCCCGGTATCTTGGTATAGAATATACATAAATTATTATGACGAATTGCCGATAAGATAACCGCAGAACCTCAAAATTCCGTAAACGATTGTTATATTAACAATAAACCAAACAAACCAATTAACTTTTGTCTTTAGGGTGTTTTGCTACTGTATGTAATCTTTATTGTCACATTTTCTCACATGAATTTTGTTCACGCTAATCTGACGATGACGTTATTATTTAGTTATTATTCTAAGATTTAACGTAATAACGTGATTTATCATAAAAACAGTCTGCTGTATATTTTTTAAACGTTGATTATATAATAGGGCAATATTTTCATTTTAATAATATTAAAATATGAATTACCTTTCTACGATTACATTAAGTACTTTACCCTCGATGTGTGTTGTGTAGCAGCCGAATAAAAATGATTATTCCTGTTTTATTCCCGCTGTAAAAGTTGCATTGGAGCACTGGATTATTCGGTTAAACACTGCAGGAGAGGTGTTTACGCTTTAAAGCGTTTTAATAGGTTTACTTTCTACAAATAGAATTTTAATGGATAATATTTTAGGTTGTAATTTGGATACGTTTCTTTATGCCTTTTTATTGCATACAAAGATTGAATACGGGAATTTTCTCCGTTCGTAAGAAGCCTTCTGATTGCATTGTGAATGAATGATTTTCCGTATTCTCCGTTCGCGCAGGAAGAAACGTAGTTATTTATCCCCAGCCGAGTGGTATGAATAAACACGAATCTGTGAGCATTCCTCCTGTTTTTTTACCTTGTTTTTCATCCGTAATCTAATTTCGCATTTTCTCTCCATTAGCGCGTTTTCCACGGACGCTTTCAGAAATTTGAATAAAAATTTATGGCCCTATTGTGAATCTGTACCCAATACATTTCCACTATCCGAAACGGGACCTTGGAAAGCTTTCAACTCGAGAAAAAAATTATCCGTACCTACTTAAGAAAGTTAGGATTATCCCATGAACCATAAAAAATAACTTTTAACTCGTAATTTCCAAAAACTTCGGGCGAAACATCGAATTTTCGACGCGTTAAATGAAATTCCAGGTGTGTGTATAAACGGCACATTTCGCCTCCACGAAACTGTCGCTTTGCTAAATTGCCAATTACATTTAGTCCTAATATACGCGTATACCGGCCGGACTTTTATTTCAATCAACATTTCCGATTGCGGGAAATAATGTTTAATAAACGTGGAAATTAATTAATTTTTAGATCAATCAATATTCGTGCGAAGCGACGCCGATATTTCGAAATCGAAAACGCCGATCACCTTGAAGGGGGTTCGAATTACTTACGCCAAGTGAGCGCATGAATAATGATAGAGGTGCATGGTTTTACATGCAACATCGAAGGTTCTTCTATTAGCGATTTCATGAATTTTTCATGGCTCTGAAATTAAAATTTTATCTTGATAACCATTCAAAAATTAAGTATGCATTGTGGTTTCAGATATAATTTATACGGGATGTACTATACCTATTTTACATAAAAAACATCTTATAATATATTAAATAGCGCTTAGCAAATTAAAGGAAAATTTACTATGAAATACTATGGCCTATTTAGATACTAGATGGAATGTGTGTGGTCTTGACCAAAAATTTTCATTCATCTATTTATTTCCCTAGCGTTTCAAAGTCACGTTTCCATTGGATTGTCAGGGCACTATTTTCGTCATGGGGACCTTGACATGCTCGCAAAGTGCGTCTCGGGTTCACGCGGGAGTGTATTTGTAGCGCTATAGAATTCCTCCCGACTTAATACCTGCCATTTTTCCAGAATAGTTTTACCTACATACTTCACCGCGCAAAAATGTTGTTATTTGACCACGCTTCTAAATTTAGCTACTTCATTCTACTGGATACTGCCCATGTTAGTTCCATTTTCGCCGCGATCATTTCACCGGCAATTAACTCCAAAACAAGAACGTAATCGATTATATTTAAATGCAAAATCGAACGTAAATATTAAACTGAATTAATTTTTCGCCGGTCTGCGATGCCGATTCGCCGCTCGAATTAACCGCTCGTTTATATTGCGGAATAACGTTCGAATGAACTTCGATTCGTGGAGTATTTAAACATCTTCGAGACGATTTTCGCCTATCCCCGGCGAATTTATGGCTTTACTTAGCGCGAAATTGCGAGAATATTTTTCGAGATGATGTACAGTATACCAAAAAAGTATTCGTACACTCGTATTATAATCATTATACGTGTAATTACCCGTTTAATAAATATACAAATGAAAAAACAATTAACAGGCAGATTTGGCTCCATCCGATCCAAAAATGTTATACTTACTCTCATCTGACAATATAACCTGGTTCCAGAACTCTAAACGTTTATTAATGTAACGCTTAGCAAACTCCACTCTTAGCTTTCGATTTTTCTTATTTATCCTTGGCTTTTAGCAGGTCTTCTTCCTCTATATTCTAATCGCTTAATGTGGTATCGAAGAGTTTCCGGATGGATCTTATGCCATGTACTGGATTTCAGTTCAGAAACGATGTATGGAGCACTTACAAAGGGAATTTTTTTAACTTTTTGATAAATGAAATTCTGATCTCGTTGAGTTAACTTGGCAGTACCTCCCGATCTTGACTTATTTTCCACGGAACCAGTAGATTTATATTTTTTCACAATGTACTGAACTGTAATATGTGTTTTTTGAACAATTTTACCTATCTCCTTATATTATTTTCCTTCTATAAAATGATGGATGATGACTTTTTTAAGTCACCATCTATTTCTTCAGTTTTTCTAGGCATTTTAAGGTAAACTTGAATTATTTTGAAAACAGAACTAGGAGCTCAACCTAATACTAATATACCGGCGAAAACAATAAACAATTTAATATCTACAGAGTGAAGAAATTGATAAAACGTTGCTGTACGAATACTTATTTTGGGGATAAAGCAAACATTTTTCGTTTTTTTTATTTTACATTTTTAATAACAATGTTAATTAATGATTGCAAGAATAGTCTTGAAATGTAGATTTTAATTTGCTAGTTACTTCTTGTTTCTGTTTACTGAACGCGGACTTCCAGAACATAATGCAACTGTACGAATACTTTTTTGGTCTACTGTATGTGTATGATGAGGATGATTAATTGTATATAGCCGAAAAAAATCGCTAACGATAAAAAGGGCTAGTCGGGATATGCTGACAGTGAGAATTTTGACAAATTATCCGTTACTTAGGAGTTTGCTTGGAAAAAGGAAGTTGCGATCAGAAACTTTGGTCCATTTACAATGTTGTGAAGCAAAAAAAAATCTCATTTATTTATTACTAGATACGGAAAATTGGGTTACGCTATTTTATACTGAGAAAAGGATATATCGGTATTTGCATTGTAGCAAAATTGCTACAATTTTGTCAAAAAGCGATTAAACTTGTTTAATTTTTTTCGACAAGCGAAATCATTACGCAAATATTTTTATACTTGTATAATATTTCTCTTGGTTGGCGACGAATGGTTTGCATAAAGTGGGCGGACAAGGTAAAAGCAAGGCAAATTATGTACAGGGTGATTTTAATCAATTAACAGTCCTATTTGTTCGAAGGAGAGAATATTAATAAGTACAAGAAAAGTTGGTTCAAGTATGCAAAATATTTGAATTTGAACAACTTGTGTTCGTCTGAAATTTACAATTTCAGGAGAGCGAACAGGTTGACTAATGTTCAAAAATAACACATTAGCCATCAGTCTGTTTTCGAGATAAATAAAATAATGTAGTAATTTCAGGAAATTTTATTGAATAAGTTGATCACTGTCAGTTCATCGAAACAGCATTATAATAACAAATTTTGCTAAAAGGTTTTTGTTTATTTAACTTAATTACAAAAATAGTATATAACTACACGTACGAGTATAATCGAATTGAAGGATAATTGGATAGATTTTATAGAACATGTATTGTTGATTTATTCAAAGTTTTGCATTATCGGAAAACTTCCATAATAAATGTACTTAAAAACCTTTTGAAATATTCCTTAATTATTCAATCGTGCATAAAGTGCATAAAGTGCATAATCTCGAATTGCAGTAAAATCTTTTTTTGCCCTCTTTGTCTAAAAGATCTATCGAACTGTCTATATGGAGTATTCCCCCAATTCAATATGCTCTACCTCCCTTTTCATGTGAGTCACATGGTTCAGTGACGGAGAATGGTATCCAAAATTACGATCGGTCCAACGGTTAATTGCACCATATTTTGGTAAATAAATCAAGCTTTCTAATACATAATTTTTCAATAATTTCTACAGAATTGAGGTTTTTATGTTATTAAGCGAAGTCGAGCATAACATTTCAAATTTATTACCAAAATACATACTATAACTTTACTTTGATTGGCTATTAATTACCTTACAGTAAATTTGTTTTATATTTTATAAAAAACTTAAATCCAGAAATTTGTTTATTTACAACATACCTAAAGAACTTATGAAGCCACTGAAAATATATTTTTAATTTGTTTATATAATGGTTTATAATTAACTACTTCTATTTAAACAACCGCTACCTACTGTACCTCTATAATGAAGCCTCTGATAATAAACACACTGGGCGGACTATATTTAATTTTTTTGTTTTAATACGGTTACGCTGCTGACCCACCCTGTATGACCAGAATACATTACGGTGAATTTCGTTAGAAATGCCATTCGTTTTATAGGATTTGGTCCTGCCGTTTCCTTCCGCTTAAAGGAGATAAGAAAAATCGCCTTTTTGGGGAGACCCATACGTATCCTACGTGTCAGGCCGAAGTTTATCGAACACTTTACCATTTTTATTGAAGTACCTGCACCTATCAATTTAATATTTTATTTATCGAGTTATCTATCAATAGAGACATTTTTAATCAAATAATAGCCGACTAATCCCGGCACGATAGAATTTATTTCCCTAACGAAATTACATCTTTACAGCGGAATTATACCTCGAAGACAGGAATAAAACTCGCAACGCAATTCATTTTATAACGCTTTTGAGCGTTCTTCAACGGCGAGCGTTATCAAGTTGAATTTAAAAAGCAATTGTCTTTATCACCTCAGCAGGATTGTAAACGATTTTCATTTACATAATGCTTATTCCGCTTCTTCTTATCAGCATATTGGCTTAATGCACCTAGCATACATTATACAAATTCATCCAATTTCAGGATAGTGCACCTGCAAGATAAGTGGAAAAGAAAGTGTAAATATCTAGTTGTATTAGATTAAGTTGTGCTGTAAATTATGATTTCAAATTAATATACAGTGCTAAATTAAATACATAATTCTTGTATACTCTTTTAACTTGTTTAGGTATCTTAACAATCCTAATCTTTATCTTAATAGATCTTAATTGGTCAATCCGAGTTCAAATTAATTCCATGCACTCGGTATTGGAATATTATGACAGCTAGGCGAGTATTTACCCATTTAACATTAATTGCAATAAAGTAATCTTAATTATAGATGAAAATAAATTGGTTATTTTTCAAATGACGAGCTTTTTTCGGACTCGTTTTATTACGCAGGTATTTACCATAACGAGTTGTCATTGTCAAGGAGATTTGTATAAAATTAACGAAAAGCAACAATAAATACCAAAATAACAAAACTTCGTATATGAAACGATAATAATTGACAATGACCTAAATGTTAATTTTTTTCATTTAACGCGCGATTAAAATTTCCACAGTTTATTTGTCTAACTTGCAAATTAGTTTTTTTTAATTTGTTATTGTCAGATAACGGAAACACTGATCTGTCAAATTGTAATAGGTATTGTAAATTATTATAACATAATTTGTTTACTTTATATTATAATTATCCTTACTTTATTTTATTCTTTCTTCCTGGTCATAGTATACATGTAATTTAGAGCCTTCAAATTATTACATTGCCTTAAATAATACTCCTGCATGGTGAATATTATTATTGCATCGCTATCTAAATTGACTCTATAAATATATTTAAAAAGCAATGAATATTTATATTATGTTTAAAACGTACAAGGATTAAAATTATAGAATATATTTCGATATCTTATTGCCATCATTTAATTTTTTAAGCATAGTAAAACATGAAAGTAAATTTTGCTATAGGTTGGAATTTCGTAACATCTACTTAGTATCAGATTTGTATCTATTATAGGGGTGAAATTAACGCGAAATTAAATTGTTTGCTCTCACGACTAACATTAATTCCAGTAATTAGACGGGTTACATAATTCCTCCGAAATTCGATTTTCCTAATTGAATTGTAGAAAGCTTTTTCATTTGATTAATTGCTTCATCTGGCAATTAAAACCAGTTGAAATTAGTCGTATTGTGCTATAATTGAAACGAGGAATTAATTGTATTGAAATAGTAAATTTACTGGTTAAAAGAAAATGCATCCAGCAAACTAATAATAATGTTGACAAACTGGTTAATTAACTAGTTCTTATCTACTTAATTTCGTATTCGCATTTCCTCGCTATCGAGCAAAAACTAGTACATTTTCTAATCACTTACAATTAACTAGGAAGAAATTACGTTTAAAAAAAACTGTTTGCAGTATTAAGAAATCATCCTGTATGTACCACATATTAGTACACGCCGCTTCTGTGCGATCAGAAGTGATTATGATTGCTGAAATCAATTAACTCAAGGCTATAATTAGGTGTAATTTGCGGTTATTTTAATCCACCTTACTTTTCAACCGTTGTTAAAAAACGTCGATAAGTTCAAGGACCAACAAAAAATCTATCTTCAAAAATAATTGCTAAAATTTGCTTGCTGTTTTATGACGTTTGTGACTTGTGACATTTGAAATTTTCGATTCGTGAAATTATGTTAATCGCAATATCTCGAAATATGTTTTTATTTGTTTAAAACGAATAGAAGAACAAAACTTACACCTTACTTCTTGTATTAGTGCTAATTATTGCGGATGAACGTGACGTAATCACCATTTAACGTTGATATGTCGTTACAACAGAATTTTTGTACCGAATGACGTAATATAAGGAAAAAACGAGCGCTCTATAGCGAGTACAGAGGATTTTTTTGTCGCCGTCAATTAAAGTGCCTTCGAGTGGTTATTGCAATTAAAATTTCTTTAAAACAAAAAAGAAGTCGATGCCTTCCATCGCTCCGAATGAATGAAACCAATTGATTAATTAATCGTTCAATTAATTAACGAAATGCAAATAAATTTAACGAGGATGGTTGGCCGACGAGTTAATTATAATTTTGTTCTACTTTTTTTAATTGTACAAGACAATGTGGTTGTCTGTAGAGAATTTCTTCCTGTGAAATGCTCAGCTGATCCTTAAGGAATACCTGTATTCTTTTGCCTCTGTGGCATAAAGTTGTTGGTATAAAATGTTCAGTTAGACTGGCAGTTAAATGTATTATTCATAATTCATTAATATCAATTCAGCAATTTTTCTTTTTCCAAGTTTTTTTTGTCAAATTTAAATGTTTTAACCGAATCTTTTAATGGCGGCAGTTGTATTTAACGGATACTCGATTTACATCACATAAAAATAACAAAATTCAATGTCATACTGTTATTTACGATATTTTTGAAAATCCGCCACGTCTAGTATATCCCATTACTTTAAGCATTTAAATTATTATTAGACTAATGGAATATGTCATACATATAAGCTGCTGCAATTTACACACTAATCTTTATTTTGCAAATACACTGTGTTAAATGAGATAATCCCTTTATCTACATTCCGCACATATAAAAATAATCACCGATTTATTGCATACAAAATTTACACATTTTGATAAATTTTTCTCTCATATTTCCGCATTGTCATCAAACAACGATAATCTAATGTCGTTCACCCTTCGAAATATCAATTTACTTACCCTTCGGCTGGCGTAATCTCCGTAATGTATTCCCCTTCACGGACGAAATTAGGTACAAGGGATGAGAATAGCGCCTGATGCAAGCAAAGTCGAAAAATCAAATAAAAAACATTTGTGATACGGCAAAAATGGAAGTGTAACAAACATCTTGCGAGCCTGTATGAGGCCTTTGAAGGCCCATTCAGAAGAGGCAATTGGGACATAAAACTTTTATCACCTTCAGTATTAGTTCGCCAAGTTAGCTCGGATATGATTAATGAAACAATGTAGATAATACGCGTCTAACTCGAAGTTACGAGAATTGAATTGCGCTTTATCGCTGAAAGTTGCGTCGAACGGGGAGCGCCCGTAATCAAATAATTACAGTCGCTTATCGGAGAAGTTTTATCGTTTTCCTGTTCGATTAAAATAAACCAGCGTCGTTTGTTCAGTCGATCCGCTCCCCGCGAACTCGACACAACGCGACGCGAATGTTTTTAAACCGATTTTGATAGACTATCACAAAAGGTGGCAGCGCACCTTTCCCGCACAGTGCCAAATGCTTTTGACAACTTTGACGCAAGTTAAGTCCGAAAATAAATACACATTGCTTTCGGTCGCCAATCTGCTTGTGGACTCGACGAAGCGTAGGTATCTGGCACCTGTTAATCGATCGCTAATTAGTAAAAAAAAATTGTATTACGAGTTATTGATACATATCTGAACATCAATCAATAATTTACTCATCTGAGTTTGTGCTCAATCTACGGATTATGGTGCTTATCTGGATCAACTCTCTTCAATTAGGCATTATTTAATTGATAAAAGGCTTAAAATGTTTAACATCGACGCTGTCAGTTCTAAATGATATCTACAACTGTCGCAATTAACTACACTCTCATCATGTTTTCATGGATTGGTAATTTCTCTACGAGCGAATTCCTTATCGCAATTTCAGATATGAATAAACCACTGTCCGACTGTCAGAGAGCGGCTTTGGAGTTTTTTTTTTTCACCGACCTATCTCACTGTATAGCAAGCCGTTTCTAGCACGAACGAGATTCGCTGATACCGGTTGATGCTTATAGCCCGGTCCAATTCGGTCGCGGGAAACCGCACGGGTCGCGGACGATTTTCTCCCCGGCTATTTTGTATCCCGTATCGATTGGCTATTGGAAGAAATTACGGAGCGGGAAACGTGGATTTTCCGGACGGCCGATCAAACGGACAACGCGACTGTAACACCTCACACCTGAGTTGGTTCCAGTTTCAAAATGGCGAATTTGTTGCAAAGACACAGGGAGTTTTTATGGTCAGCTAATCATTAGTTTACAGACGTATTTTTAAAAAGTGCCAGTTGGAAAACTGCTTCGCGTTTTCGATCCATCGATTCGATTGGAGTTTGTTTGAAGCACAAGGCCGTTTTTAAATGAATAGGTCGCTCAAATATTGTTAGTTTAAATAGGCGATAGGCATCTTCCCTTGTGAGGTAGTTAAATTAATTACGCGAGATATCTCGCAGTGTTGTCTAATCAAATTGAAATTTCTATTAATACGAGGGTTAAGTAAAGCTTTTGATACGCTGAGGTAAGTAAAGAGAATCGAATTAGTTAGGCACATACGGGATTAATTTAATTAACAAGAATGTTGATATAACTGCTATAGGAATCTATTCAACAATGTTACAATATATGTTTTTAATTTAGCGAAAATGGTATTTTGTTGTAGTTTTTATAAAGTTGCGAATTTGTCCGGAACCTAAGTAAATATTTGATTTTGTAAATTTTCATTGTTAAATTTGCGAAAACCGAAGTGTAAATATTTGATTTTGGCGTGGCGTTTTGTTTAAATCCTTTTGCCAAATTCCTGTACTATAAAAGAATCGTTTCGGTCAAAAAAAATCTTAAGTAACAATACCACATCAATAAACGTGCCGAAAGCTGCCGAGATTTCGGTCATTATCGAATCACACCGACCCTGGACCAATAAAAAAAATTATTTATATACTCTGTTATTATATCTACCTTGTATACAAATCACTCGTAAATGTATATCTACAAACGTTCATTATTAGATTTCCTTAATGAATTGCCTACCCCAAATTTTCCGACGTGTTCGTCTTCCAGACAAACAATAGTCGGGGAATATTCCCGCTCAGAATTTTACGTTTCCATTCGGCGAGACTTTCAGCTTACCCTCGATTGTTAAATCCAATTTCGTACGTTGTCACGACTAATAAACTTGTTTTTCAGAGAAACTAACTATTTCTCGCTGCCGTATCGGGATTACTTCGCGAAGATCGATAAGTTTAACACAAGGTGACCCCGAAGAAATTACCTCGTTAGCGAAAAAAATAATCGCGACTGATGCGAGGTGACGGATATATTAATCGGCTTAGATTTTACGTATTATATTTTGTATAATACAGGGTATTGTTAGGATTATCCATACTTCAGACATCATCGGTTCCATCTGAGACTTGGCAAACAATCGAACCGAGAAAAGATAGGGGGACTTGTTTGTAAACAGTAGTAAAAAAACAAAATGAATGGGAAGCGTCGCTTTTGCGGACAAAGACGCGCCTTTTTGTATGGAAAACAATAGAAATGTTTGGTTTACGATTTACGATCGAATTCGTATCGTATCGTATCGTAAAAATCGATTTACACGAAACCTCCTACTTGGTGGATAATATTTTTATTTCAATCGGTTCCGAATTTCGTGTCTATTATCACAAATAATTATAGCCGATGTTAATACGCTCATTGAATCGATATTAAATAGTTACAGTCATTCATGCGGTAATATTCTGTCAGCAATGACTGGAAAATCGATTAAAAAACGGCATGTCCGTAACAGATTTTTATGGCATCCTCAGCCTTGATGCGGCGCATATCGGTCGATGTTTACACAGTTTTCTCACGTCGTTTCACCCTATACTGTATTCATTCCCATCCCCACGGCTTCCAATACTCCTTCGTCTTGTCGACTTCCACATTACGTTGTTATTTCTCTTTTATATTTGGATGTAAATGTATAATTTTCAACTCGTTTTCGACGTTCGAAATCAAATATACACTGTTAACCTATACATCGGCGCACACACCTCTTAACAATTCAAATAGTGTAATAACTATATTTACATGCTGAGGAAATCATGTGCTGCCAGTCAAAGGTGAATTCAAATTCAGCCTTTCATTGTTGCTATGACCTCATTGTCAATTTTCGTTGACAACTTCGAATAACGTTTAATAAGAGGAATGGAATTTATTGTAGGTCGAAATGTTCGCTGAAAATTGTGTGCATTTCATTAAATTTGGAAAAAGTAATTAGCCATTGATTGGCTCAACATAATTAAATGTTTTTTCTATATCAAGTACAATTGTTTAACAGAACAAAAATTATAGGAAAACGTGATGAAATGCGGTACGCTGGAATATCGCTAGTTAAATAACAAAAAAAAAGCACGGCAAATTGTTAATTCCATGTATAATAGTTCCAATGCGTTTAATATAGCAGTACTAACTACTTAATAGCTTACAATTGTTTTTCTTCTAAATTGCCGGCGAATTGTTTTAATTTACTCCATCGAGTAAATCGCTACAAATCGTTATTCCACGTAGTTCAACCATTATTGCAAACATTTATTTTTACGAGCCTCTCATTAAAATCGAATTTTCCATAGCGTCTCTCTGTTGCGCAAAGTCTTATTACCCGAATGCAAATTTAATTTCTATAAATAACTAATCGATGAAATAAACCAAAAACACAATTTTACAGTGCAATAATCCTGAACTCGTTATTAGGCGGTTGCATTGCGACGCCCTGTGCGCGCTGTTGCGTAGTGCAATCCCACAAATCCCGGATTTCTTTCCATAAAATGACAATTAATCGAGGAAACGGTACGCGCTCGAATTAAGTTAGTGCAATTACGAATTTAACGGAATAGTTGGAATAGTGAAAAGGGGATAAATAACGTGCACCTGTGAAAACAGAAACGTCGGAGAGCGTTGCCACTGATTTGTAGATCCAATTACTTAACGTCACTTTTTATGGATTCGACTTATCATTGTGTCGTTTTTTATAGAACCGGGCGAGAGATGATGAATAAATGGAGCTGTTTCAATCGCTGTATACGTCGTACTTACATATTTATTTATGAAATATTACTAAGATTCCAAATAAAATGTATCGATGTGACGTACTTGTTTTGATTTTCATTTCTGCAATACACTTATAAGAAACAATATTGTTGAATTTGTACTGTAAGTATAATTTCATCCTGAGTTCTCCAGGTTGATTGATTTTGGATCGAGTAACTGGTTGATGGACAATTTTTTGGGAGGTTTGTATAAGGTTCATTTCAAGTTTCTACTAGAATTCAGCTAACTAATATTGTACTTAATTGATACAACATTCCTCCAATTCCTTCATCATTGTCGCGCGCATTCAAAGCGCAAGAACACATGTCTTATCGAGCGCCGTGTTCCATAAATTACTGAAACGCACCGAATAATTCCTCGCGTCTGATAAAGCATAAATCAAATCGCTAATTTCAACAGATCTGTGTCGAAACGAAATCGCGGCGAATCGACGTGAAGTCGCGTTGTGTTTATAAAATTTATTGCTAATGTCGTATATCACTTCGATGCATCTGAACCGACATGACGGCCCGTCTATTATTGTATCGGCCGCACTTGTTGGTCGCCTTTCAATGCCGGAGAGAATTGCTGAATGCTGTCGAATGCAAGCGCCGTGACACTTTTCTGGGTTGGACCGGACGGGCCGCAGAATGGGCTCCGAGCACGGTAGCTATCCGAAAAATAAAGTTTCTATTAACCCGATGCCTAAGCGTTGAACAATGGTTGGAGCTAACGGATAAAAAACTTGGGAAAAATGTGTTGAGTTTTGATATATTGCATGTATGCACCAGCGGGCGATTTTCCGGTACAGTTATGTTTAAGATATGTCTGTGATAAGCCGAAGTTAGTACAAATTATGTACATTATCATCGTACGAGTTGAATTTATGGTTGTAATTCTAACCAATGGCGTACGTATGGTTTATGCGTTAATTAAGCAGGATTTCTCAAACATCGGTTTGTTAATTACAAACAATATTTATCGTTGTAAGCTAATCCAAATTGCTTATTTCAGATAAAAAAAAAATCGATTAAAAATTCGATCTATTAACCAAACATCCTTTTGATCGTATACATATAAACATGCACATTTTTATTTTCCGCTGTGGAATTCGAATTTGGAATCCGCGTAATATTGTTTTATCCGCATTTACTGTAGCGAAATCGCTATTTGCGCTAATCGAAAAAACGTGAATATCCATTTTAAAAAAAATTCCTATTTCAGCGTAATGCGTATTCCCTGCAGAATTCTTGCGGTGGTTCCGATCCGACATTCCCCGTTTCGAAAATTCCTAATTCCGTCTTTGTAGCATCAGACGACACGACGACAAAAGGGCTTTGATCTTTCCATTAGACATTTAAATCCCACCTAAGGTAATCCTCCGCGGTCGCGTAATTAAAATAAACGATGATTTGGATTCCTGATTAATTAAACGGCGTGAATTCGAGGTAAAGATCGGTATGGTTATTACACTTTTTTTATCTTATTAAAATTGGTTCTTGCTGGAGAAAATTAAGCCGCCTTTTTTATGTGCATTAGAGCCTGGAAAAAATGTGCGCCAATTTACTTAGAATAGGGCGCTAATAGACTCGTAATAATCAAGATGATCTTCGACTTTATGAGAGGATTAACGATAGCATAAAATGCGCCTCTTAAATGATTCGGTATTTGGTTGACATTCAAGCTATCTATAGAATTTATTAATCAGTTTTTTTTATAGAATAGCCTTTTTAATGAAAATGTAATTTTTCGTTCGGTTTAGCATGGTGCGCTGCTCTAATGGGAATCTACTAATTTTAGAGTAATTTTCAGTAGAGCTGAAAGGCCGACGGAAAACTGCACACCTTGGCTTGATGTGTTTTTGCTATGTTAGAGTCATTACTGACACGGAAACCAATAACGAGGGTTATATTTAGATTGGATTTTATGCACAATAATTCTGCGTGGTTATCTTGAAACTTTCATTCAAGGTTTCTGCTTCGGAAATTCGTTAATTTTCGGCAAAATTGGCGTCTCCAGCTCATAAAATACAAGTCAAGGGTATTTCCACGTATAATAAGATTGCATGTTAGTGAATTTTAAATTTAATTTAGCAGTCTGTTCGTTGCACCGCATTTTATCGCATTCCGATAGGGTCAGTTTTGAAGTGTAGCTCCGCGAATAATAACTCTCGAAATAAATTTTCAATTACTGTTTTCGGGTCGGTTATTTCCGCTCCTAAAGATATATTTTATTGTTATCGCCTCTAGACGTGATAAATTCCTCGTTGCAGAAATGGCTCGGCGAAGGAAACCACCAGAGCACTTCCGAACCTCCTAAACGAAACCAACCGCACGCAGGCCACAGCCATGGATCACAGCGTCAAGGCGATGACCTCTCCGGGTCTGCTCACCCGCATCTTGAATCCCCATCGCTTCGAAAACGACGAACTGGAGCAGCTCTACCAGCGCTACATCTGCAAGCTGCAACACTCCAGCGTCGCCGCCGTGGTGGCGCTCTTCGTCATCCTGACGTTCCTGCTGGCCAATTTGGGGCTGGTGTACGCGCAAGCCGCCACCGCGCAGAACGTCTACCACGCCGCCCACTGTCTCCTCTTCGCGCTGCTGCTGGTCTTCTTGCACACCAGGTAAATCCGCCTCCAAAAGCATTTGGAATGAATTGCCTTTATATCTCAATCGGTGCAGGTTCATGCAGGATGCTTATCTGCTGTGGGTGTGCTACGTGGTGCTGTTCTTCCTGGCGACGTTCTGCGCTCTATCGCTGCCTCTCTACCCGTCCTCGACGGTGGCCAAGGTGGCGGCCGAGGGGACCTGGCAGGTGGTGTTCGTGGTTTTCCTGGCGTACGCCATGATGCCGCTCAAGAGTTACGTGGCGGCCGTCTTCGGGGTGGCCCTCTGCACGGCTCACGTTGTCGTCGCTGCAGTCTCCGCCACCGCCTTTCGATACCTCCTCTGGCAGCAGGTGAGTGAACTATTAGCTAGTAAAAACGTGTCTTTAAAACGTAGCGAGCGTAACGGGTAAGCCGGTGAAGTAGCAGCTACAAAATAACCGGTTATAAAGTAACTGTAATGGAGTGTAGAGGTGGTGAATGTGTTTTTAATCTCCTTGTAACTCTCTAAAGAAGAGGAATAGAAAAAAAAGGGGACAGGGTGGTTTTATAGAGTGGTTTCAAAATTTTTCAGAAGCTCTCAGTTTTCGTGATATATCAATTTTTCTGAATCATCGTACGTTTCCAAATGTTTCGCACACTTCGCTCTGTATATTTTGTTAATTTTCAACCTCATTTACGGGCAAACAAACCACTCGATCTAGTATGAACTATTCGACGCGAAGTTGAATGCAATAGAACGGGGAGGTTAATGCTGCGAGACTATCGTTGACACGCATTAGCCGGTAATGAGTAATATTTAGAGGCGAGTCGCGATTCCGCAATTTCCCGCATATCTTATCGCAATCATTAGATGTTGTTGTGTGTACTTTAATCATGAGAACATCCGAGAGAGCATATTCTACATCGCTCGCCGGTTGGCGTTTGTGCGAATCGTGAAGGAGGCATAAAAATAAATGCGAAATGAATTGTGGGAATGCGTTCCGTTCTCGACGATAGGATTTATCTAGAAAGGGCCGCTCTATGAATATATCTACAATATACAGAGTGTTAGATTACTTATTAGTGTGTTTCTTGGTAGAAGAAAGATCCGATTGCAATTTTCTCGTAGTAATCTCGTGAAAGCCTGTTCTACTGAGACGATAATTCCCGTTAATTTGTGACTGTCAGGTCCATTCGAAACCCAAGAAATGTGGGTTATGCGCCCCCATTGATTCACCCCTAATGGGATCTTTCAGCTTGCCGACGTCGACTGTTCATTTGGCATCAAAAATTGCAAATTCGTTTAAATTTAAACCTTTCAGCTTGCTGTTAATTTGCATTGTATTGTTGAAGTTGTAATGTCAGTATAACTGGCGGGATTTGTGCTGATTTTCTTCGCTGCGAAAATTAAGCAAACGCGAAGGGGAGGATTAAATTCAGCCATTCTACTATTTGTATGCAGCAGTAGATAGCTTTCAACGTTGGCGAGTTATTTACACAATAATGTATCATGTTTGCTCGTACATTGTGTTCACTAGAAAGATAAGATATGTGCAGTTTACAATTTTAAACGTTTCAAAATGTATACCTTACTTTCTGCATCATAAATTTAATGAGTTAAATTCTGGTCAATAATATCGATTTTAATTGGTTTTTATTTAGAACTTTATCGCAAATCTGGGATGGATTGTGTAGGTAGAGAAACGCTAATTTGCTCGACGAGACGCTCCATTGCCGCACGAGTTATTTTATATGGCTTATTTCTGATAACGAAAACGCACGTTTTGACATACATTTTCAACGAAAAATAGCCAAAATTACTCATGAAACAAATTTAATTGCCGATTTAATCTTGCAAGCTATTTTTATATAAACAAATTCATTTTTTATTCATTATATATTTCTAGGGCATGTTTAGCTAAGAGTATAGCTTGTCTCAAAATAATGAGGAAAAATTTATGAGTTTACGACTACCCTCGACTGTATACAAGCACACTTATTCATCCCATTTTATTTACTCCCCGACCCAACTACATGCTTGAAATTTCCATTTTATTGGAGGGTGTTAAGTACTACTAAGTCAATTGTTATAATCTCTAAGGCTCTGGCCTTTTTTTCCTAAATACTTTGAGACACACTATACATTTCTGCACTTGGATTCCTTGTCGCCCGTTTATTTCTTTTCTTTATATCCTAGCTAATAGCGAACGTCACAGTTTTCCTATGCGTGAACATCGTCGGAGTTTTCATGCACAACTTGATGGAGCACGCGCAAAGAAAGGCCTTTTTGGACACCAGGAATTGCATAGCGGCCCGCTTGGAGATGGAAGACGAAAACGAAAAATTGGTAAGTTTCCGTATAATTCGCGAATTCTGCAGGCGCTGTTCCATTAAACATCGAGCCGATGCTCCATTACACCCATTCGAAACGAAAGACTTTCGGCGATTTCGCTCATTTACTAAATGCTCTTCATTAATTCCATTAAAACAGGAGCGTAATTAACGATCATAGCAGGAGATAAATCTTGCGTACTCGTTCGAGATATTCTCAGCAGGAAACTATACTGAGAGTTTCGTTTTTCCATTCGCAGGAACGGCTTCTCCTGTCTGTGCTGCCGCAACACGTCGCCATGGAGATGAAAAACGATATTATTTCGCCGGTCGAAGGTCAATTTCACAAAATCTACATTCAAAAACACGAGAATGTTAGGTAAGTTGTATCTTATTGTCCTTCAACTTGGAGGACTCTGTCTTTCTAAACTTAATTTAATCTCCAGCAATTTATGTTTCCTTTCGAGGGGAATGAATAAATGCGCACGATTTATATAAATTTATAGCATCAAAATGTCCCCTGTGTTTTCGAGTACATAGGCAGGTATTCGTTTTTTATTGTAACTTAATTTAATTGCACGGATTTTTATTGGGTATAAACATGTTTTATTCAGTTTCAATTTGAATGCGAAATTGGCGACAAATTGAATTTGCTGGCGTAATTAAAAAACCGAGCTGATTGCAGGGAAATTGAGTCCTCTTTAATTCATTTGATTAACTTGTGCTCTATTTTTTATTTGACTTTTATTGCAATAGAATGGAATTCGTAATAATTACACAAGAGTGTTAGATATTTTTTTCTTGACATTTTTTTCCACGTAATCTAAGGCCAGTCGATACAGACATACAATACAAATTCATAAAAGTGAAAACAAAAAGTCTGGTCTGATTACAACGTTGTTAAATAAAACCTTTGTTCACTTTATCGCTGTGTACTCACTAATTATATTTAAATTAAAAAAATATGTACGAAGTTTCGTCAAAAATGTTTGGTAGAAAAATTTAAGTGTATTTCATCATTTTCTATGAATTTCAGGTTTATTTTGAAACTTGAAAAAATCTGAATATAATCGCTCGTTTCTAATAAAGGCGAAATTAGTTTAGAAGTAATAAAGTCGCATTTTAACTCGCGTTTTATGGCCAATTTCGCTTTGTAATTGCACACCCATTGTAATTTTGAACGGCAATTCGGGTTTATTATAGTAAATATTGAACTTTCCCCGAAAAAAGTTAATATCCGGTAAAAGTAGTTTTCCAATTCATCCCAATAAAATTCTTCTAATTATTTACAAAAATTCTTTCAGAAAAGTTATATTATTAAAAAACCCCCTAACGAGTTTCCGACCGAAACTCGATGAATATATCACGTGAAAGAGCGGAGTTCGCATAATTTTTTCAAACGCGGAATTACAACAGGATGAAGGTAGATATTGAATTAAAAATTCTAACCGTCTCCGTCGAACGGAAAATTCCGCAAAATACTCTCGTTAACATTTTCGACGCCCGACGCGTTACATCGCCGATTCAATTTTTCCCGTTTAAATTATTTCCACTTTCGGGATAATTAATCGACTCTTCGTTTTTTGTGTACCAGCTGCAAATTGCGCCAGAGGCGCTTCTAAACCTACCCTATATTAAAATTCACGTAAAAAGCCACGATTAACGTTACGTAATCTTTACGTAAGTCTTGAAAAAACTACCATGCACGAGGAGCAGGCAATTTAAATATCCTTTGAGCGGTTTTCCACCCTTTTTTCCGCCCGTACGCCGGCGACTTTCGCCCGCGTTCGATCGGATTCCGTTCGGTAACAACTTTCTTTTTTGTCAGTTCGGCTTGTTTTCTCTCAATAAACGTAATTAAATCCGCCGAGGCACTTCATCGGCGGAGAGGTAACGCCGATCGCGATTTTTTAATTACTCCCGCTACCAATGGGACCCCGTTTCCGAGTCGATTCCGCGTTTTTCCCGTCGAACGCGGCGTTGTAAATATTCCGAATTTCGCTCGGTATATCGACAAATGCAATTTCGTTTCAACTTTGATGGTTTCGCCGGTAATTAAGTCGATTTTGATTAGGCGATGCTCGACAAATGCGGACGTAAATAATCTTTTTTTATCGATGACAAAACAACAAAGCGACATGATTATTTTGTTAACTCCGCTAGGCGAATAATTAATCACATATTCCATCTACTTGCGCTGATAGCAGTTTATTAACAAATTAATTGGATGGCTCGTTCATAGCTGATTAATTAATTTAGTAAATAGTTCGAGAGTTTTGATATGTGCAGGAATATGTTATGAATAAAATTTACAAAACTGGTATCAGCCATTTTATAATACGGAGCATATTCCGTAATATATGTTTAAAGTAATTAGGTACTATTTCGCATTTGATTTATATTCATATCCGCCCATTGATCTCTGTTATAAAACAACAGTTATACCTCTACCTATTCGCTAATTCGTAATCGATACGTGGTGTATTATTAATAGGAGGTAACGTCCTCCAAATAAGATTATCAGATTAGGTTAGAGGATACGCTGAATCTGCTAAGCTCCGTCCAATACATTGCAGATTTATTAGTTAATACAATTACTTCATAAGTGCTCGTTAAACCAGCTAATTTGGGATACTTTAAATGAATTTAGTTCCAATACTATCGATTTTTTTCCAGTATATTATTCGCGGATATCGTCGGTTTCACCGTTTTAGCTTCCCAATGCACGGCTCAGGAACTAGTGAGGCTTCTCAACGAGCTCTTCGGACGATTCGATCAACTGGCAAACGTAAGTAGAACATTATCGATGATTTATCATTTCCCGGGGATGTTGTGGATCGAAAATCCAACTCCCAACCACTCTCGCGAGTCTGTAATTTATATTCCTTGCAGCGTTTTCAAGTGTGTTTAATTTAATTTTCACACTAATACATGAAGGGTACTGGTTTGTTATAAATAGAAATTGATGTATATGGCATATAAAGAAAGTAAACCCAATTATGAAGGGTAATATTGTCACATTTTGTAAATAAACTCTCTTTACTTGCGGAAGAAATTTCCAATAAAGGCTACGTTATTTTCTTTTTGGAGCCCGAGACATGGAAGTTTCATTAAAGTTTACTGAAAACTGCCATAAATTGTGGGATGTGACGAATTCAAATTGCCCAGTGCTTGTGCTTGACATTGTCCTGTCGCGGCTTAATGTAATTAATGGAATTTATCATTCGAAAAACAAACATACGTTCTCGACGTTAGCAATGCACTGAAACGAAGGTGTATGTGCGAGTAAATTTAGGTCGAATGGGAGTTTTTAATTTTCGCGCTCTCGCTACATTTTATACCTGACAAGCGAAACGCTGGTAAAATATCGTTTTGAGCGATTAGAATTAATTACATCGGGTACCTATTTCCATATATAAAAAGCGGGTTTGGGAGGAAATATTTTTAATAACTTGCTCTACTCCTTCTGTCTCGTCTATCCTACGGAGATGTTCTTGGTCTTTATGGAAATACGTAATCTGACGGGATTGAGTTTCAAAAGAAAAACCTTATGCTCTTTCTACTGACATCGAATCCCGCGAACCGGAAAGAAGACTGTCTATGTAATTCGTATGCCAGTCGGGCGAATCGTGCAGAGTCGGCAATATCGAATTTAATTAGACTAGCTACAAAAATTTGTTTGGAGCAGATAAATCTATTCGAAAACAAATAAAGAAATTGTTGTAATGCATAGAAAAGAAAAAAAATCGGAAGCTATATACCGGCGTATGAGTTTTATCGATACTTTTATAATGATTTTCTTCGGCCGAAAAATATGGCGAGTCTTTGTGATTTCCTTTTACCAGACTTCCATTTAATACTCCCCATTGTTTCAGTTGTATTAATTACTTAGTCTTTGTGTGAATATTTAAAAAGGTTTTTGCAACAGTCGGCGTGTTTTAAATTTTTTATGCCCTGTATAAACTCTTTATTGTTCAACATACGTCTTTCCTTCAGGTTTTATCCGGAATAATTTCCGCTAAGTTCATCAAAAGATCCCGAACAACTTAACTTCATTGATGACTTTTTGAAGTAATTAACGACCCAAAAAATTATAAAATTTCCGTCTAGACTGAGGAAAAACTCCGCAATTTAACGTTCCGTTGTTTTCCCATTTTCCTTTGAAACATCTCCGTAGTTAAACAAGTCCGGCTACACTGAAGCTCGCTTTCAAAACTAAATAAAAGAGTTCTCGGGCAATAAAAATTTTCAAACAATGCCGCTTTTTCAATAGCCGTCGAATTTTCCGATTTCCATACAGCCAGGGAATTTCGCAACTAACAGAAACGAATGCGAATAGTCATGTTTAGAGAATTTAAATTTTTGGCATTACTCTGATGGAAATAACGTTCCCGATAAAAAATACCGCTTTCATTGCGACAGCGAAGGTTAAAGTGCGAATTTGCATTCGAAACGCCGAACTGGAACTTATGATTACCAGTCCGGGAATGAGTTCGAATTTGAAATATCTGTCGTTTTCGTGATTTGAGGATCCTTAACGATCGGCGGGCACGCGAAATATCCACCGATTTTTGGTTCAATAAACACGCGGCTTTAATTCATCGAATCGACCTTTACACTGAATATCCCCTGGCATTGTATCTCACAATGGTGGGATATTATTCACTGAAATTAAATGAATGCATTTTTACAATTTAGTGAAATAGCTTCTACGTGTTGCGTTTGTTTTGATTTATTATTCAAAGCTGTCCTGATATTATAAACTTTATATAAAATCTCTCAGCTTGTGCTCTTAATCCTCTAAAAACTCATTTCCAACAATTTTCACTTAACTTGCCAATTAAAGTTTCTTCCCCCGATTTTCCGCGCGCATTTTTCTTATTCACGCTACTCACAAAATCTTTTAACAGTTCAACAAAAACTCTTCTATCAGTTCGTTTAGAGGACTTGTCCTAATTGCGCGAAAAAACTCAAATTCTTCTTTTGTTCCATTCGGACGTAGGCAGCTTTTAAACGAAAGCAGCTTAATGCGAACACGAGATAAAAGTTAAGCGACGCAGTTTTTCCTATTCGCCGTGCCGCAATCAACAAAAGTGGGTAATACGTTATAATTAACAAAGAGGCTAGCACATTTTTCTGCCTCCTGACGGGATTAGTTGCACTTAGTGACAACGAATTCGATATAAATTTCATCTGTTTTATCCCACGCTTTTTCAGTTTATTTTTTTTACTTCCAGTCGTTAAAGTTCGAAACTTTTCTTATGCAATCTTATTACCATCGATTTTTTTACCATTCAAACCCAGAAGTCTTCCTCATCTAATATAGCTGTAATATTATCAGTGTTATTTGTTTCCAGAACGTAATTAACTATAAACTATTAAAAACTGGTACTTCTGCATGATTAGATCTCTAACTCATTCCATATCTTTTATATTATCAGTTTTGTTCCTTCCCGAAACATATCCAACTCTAAACTAGCAAAAGCTGGCACTTCTGCATGAATATTAGAACTCTTCCTCATCCAATATCTGCTGTATCATCAATTTTATTCCTTTCCAGAACATATTTAATTATAAACTATCGAAGACTGGAACTCTTCCTCATCCTATATCTGCTGTATCATCAATTTTATTCCTTTCCAGAACATATTTAACTATGAACTAGCAAAACCTGGTACTTCTACATGAAGACCAGGACTCTTCCTCATCCAATATCTGCTGTACTATCCTTTACAAGACAACTACTTATTATCTATAAACCATCAAAAACTGGTACTATTACTTTAAAGACCAAGTACTCTTCTTTACCCAACGTCTGCTACACCAGCACGAATCTCATTCCATTCCAGGACAACCACTGTCTCAGGATAAAGATTCTCGGGGATTGTTACTACTGCGTCTCGGGGTTGCCGGAGCCGCGCTCCGACCACGCTCACTGCGCCGTGGAGATGGGCCTGGACATGATCGACGCCATCGCCAGCGTCGTCGAGGCCACCGATGTGCAGTTGAACATGCGCGTGGGCATCCATTCGGGCCGGGTGCTGTGCGGCGTGCTGGGCCTCAGGAAGTGGCAGTACGATGTCTGGTCTAACGACGTCACCTTGGCCAATAACATGGAAGCCGGAGGGGAACCCGGGTGAGTTTAGAGGCTTATAGAGCTATTCGATTCATTTATAGAGTATAGGTGATGAATTGGACTTGGTAAGGATTTGCTTAGGACTCGATCTGCAATGATCTTATTGAATTTCATTCAAATCCGAAATCACTATTTTCGGTTGTGATATGCAATAATCCTTTTTAAACCAGGATATTTCATTTTATCGTGAATATTTATTTCCATTTGTGCCCTCATTGTTTGGTAATTGAATGTAAAACGGTTAATTATGTAACGTTAAATGGGACATTTCGAATGCAATTTGCGATATAATATTCCCATGAAAACGCAAATGGACGATAGGAAATTGTTAATATAATATCTATTTAAATTCATTCGAGTATCGACATTTCGAATAGTACTGGTTGATAATTGTATTATTAAAACTATACACTGCTGTATTTACATTTCGAATATTTTCAATCCGAATGAACTTTACCAATATTGAACTACAGCAGTAGATGTAAAAGAATTTTAATTTGTTTGAACACCCTGTTGCCCGGACGACATCATCTCTAGAATTCATAAGCGCTGATTACCTGCCATTATGTTCGTCGTTTTCTCGTGCATTATTGACGATTTGCATTAAGCTGAGGCTCACCTTCCTTCGACAATTGCAGAAATGTGGGGCTGTATTCTCGAAATCGATATGAATTTAAACGTTCCTATTAATGCCGCATTAAAATAAGCATTATCTATTACCAGGAAAACCATTGCTAATTCATAAGATTTCAGTCGACTAGATTATTGTCATAAAAATGTATTGTTTCTTTAGACGGGTTCACATAACTCAAGCTACATTGGATTACCTGGGGGGTGAATACGAAGTTGAACCCGGCAACGGTACCTCCAGGAATCAGTACCTAAGAGACCACTGCGTCACCACGTACTTCATAGTGCCTCCTGCGAGGAGGAGAAAGGTAAATTTATCGCACAGAAAGTTGCAGATGGTGACGCTCGAAACTCGGAAACTTTACAGATATCTCCCGCTTTATTTTATTTCAATATTCGTCGAATGTTCACTGTCAGGTGTGTTTTTACGCAAGCACGTTTTTTTTCAAATTATCTTTACAGTCGAATAATTCGCTGGAAAGGGATCTTCGTTTGCGTAGAATCAAGTCCAATTATCTCGATTATTGTCAGTTTTATTTTCAGTTCGACGCCTGTATCGAGCGTTTCGATAACTTTCCGAAAGTAATAATAAATCTTGATTGGCATATTTTGTGTTTGGTAGTCAAACATTTTACAGACGAGCGACGTGTTTACCGATTCATCGACAATAAAAAACTTTGAAAATATGAACAAAAAAAATCAATATTAAGTACAGCTTTTTTGCTACATTGTTTTTGTAGAAAATTACTCGTTGACTCGAGTACGAAAGTTAGTAGACAAACATAATAAAATTCCATACCAATAATTTTCTGAAAATTTGCAACGAAAATCTACCTACTCTCTGTTCATTATTAGACTACTCTTACTTGATTAATTACTTGTTATTCCTACTCCAGATATTACAGAGTATCTACAATTTCCTTTGGAGCTATCTCAGATTACATCGCATTCAAGCGAATGCTATTCACTGCCATTTCTTCGGAACTTTTCATATTTCCCACTCATTTCCGCGCTATACATCAGAAAAGGGAGTTTCTTTATTTCATTCTTACTCGCCTTCAATTAGAAAAAAAAAGTTACGGAACTTTCGGAGTAATTTCGAAAAGTTTCATCCGTAACTCTTTGCAGAACTCTATCGAAATGCATAAGCCAAAGGATGAATTTTTTATGAAGTTACAAGGGAGGATTATAGGAATCGATTTTGCGTTGTTTAATAAACAATTTCCCCGTTTGTTGAAAACGGCAGATGAACAAAAATCGCTAGCGAAACCGCAAAAGTAAATCGTTCTCCGGCTTGTCTGAAGTGTCTAAAAGGACCAGCGTCTCGAGTTCTTTTATATCGCTCGGAAAAGCCCTTTTCACAATGCACAAACAGAGGAGATCTCGAAAATCCGATTGGAAACTCCGGAAAATACGTTTCCTCGGCACTTTGGTCAAACTGACCAATCCAGACGGACAAGAATTAAAATTGAGAAAATATATTTAGGTAGAAACATTACTACATATATTTAAGGAATATAATTATTAGTTTGGTTGTTTGGAAAATTATTGGTAGGAATAATTACGAACGTAAATGTGTGAAATATCGCTCAAATTATGAGATTTTGTACAGCTAAGTGTGAATTTGCATTACATCTGCAACTTTGAGGCGATATAAATTTGTTTTATTCTTTATATACCCCCTATTGTCTACCCTTCTGTGCAATTTTCTATACATTATCAAAGTAAATGTGTACGTTTATGTATGTAACAGTGGCGTGCGTAAAATATTAACATTGTTTTAAACATTTTTTTGATTGGAAGTTTAGGTTAATTCGCTGATTAACGCTTTACTGAAATTTAAAATGCAGCTTTTAATTAGTTACAATAGAGAATAACTAATCATATTTATAATTTTACCACGTCACTGAATGCTTGTATATGTTTTTTAACCAATTTTTTCCTCACTGCTCACAACAATCTACACTACTGTCTTCTAAAATCTTTCGAGTAAGAACCAAACAAACACTTTTTGCTTGCGAAAACGGCTCTGACAAACCGTCTGATTTGCAAAAATAAACGCGCAATTTTCTCCACCTCCGCAATTTCGCACGTTCGGTCCATTTCACTCGAAAATGGAAACGTTGAAATTTTTTGACAAGTCAGACGCGTACGCTGTAATATCTGAAGCAATATTCCCTTTCACCCACGCTTGAAATACACCCGATCGTTCTCCCGATCTCCCCCTAATCGCTTCGGCCTGCTAGCGCGCCCGATCTAACCCCGTGTGACTAACCTTTCGCCCTACCCCCCGGCACGCCCCGGCGGTTTCTTCCAGCCACTGTTGTTCAACACGCTGCAGGTCCGGTCGGCTTTGGGAGCCGCTCAACGGAGGAAGCTCTCCTTCAAGAACGTCTCCAACGTGGTGGTGCAGCTGCTCCACTCCATCAAGTACTCCATGGAGGTGCCGTTCTCCAACATGGCGCTGCAGGCGGATTTGAAGGCCACCAACGCCAGAAAGGTGAGTCGAAACTTGATTGTTTTATAGGGAAAATTCGGGTGGTTTTTGGATTTTCGCGGAGGATATTTATTTGATGAGTATAATATGATAATGTGAAGTGGACTTGCTCTATTCCTTGTTATGATTTAGTGCAGGATAAATTGATAGAAAGAACGTTTAGCGATCACGTAGTTTTTTTTTTTGATGAGATAATGCATTTTTGTGATTTTTTTATTGGGGCTCGGTGCAAAGCTGAATTTGATTAGCGCTCTAATAGATTGTAAAGTTTGTGAAAGATTGCGTGGAGATTTAGCTTTGACATCGTCGCTCGATTAGTTCTGATTTATTACACGCCGAATTTCAATTTCGAGCAGCTACTGTTAGTGCACAGGGATGGAACGAGCACAATTGCGCACCCTCTAATTCGAACATTACTTTTATTCTGTCTTTTCTGGCTTTACAGGCTTCTGATCAATCGGACGTGGTGCGTCTAATTGTACCCCTCAAATTCACTCGCTGAAAAAACCGAGCACTTTGCACCCCTTTCAAACAAAAACCTCTTTTGAAATTGAAGTTCGTAAAGCAACTTTTCAATTATCAAGATACCTATAATTATAATAAGTAAATTCTAATTTCAAAAGACGTTTATTATTCCCTTGTTCGTTTTGCACTTCGTTACGGCGGATAAACTTTTATAAACTGCCGGCTAATTTAAATAATAAGTTGAAAACTTCGACTGGCAAAGTTTCTTTATCCGCATTAGCGAAGTTGCAGATCTTTGTCGAACAATGTGTAATGTTATCTAGATATTGCAACATTTTCGCACAAATCACCTGCCGATATTTAAATGTCTCTCATACCCGATTTAAATGCGTCGAAACATCAATTTCTCTAAACTAGTTTCTACGTAAGAAAGTGTTTTATATGAGTTTATAACCGAGTACAGTCCGAGCCAAAAACCGGTTGCATAGTAGATCAAAAAAATACGTGCAATATGGTCTCCATTTACATACGTTATTTTAATTTACCGAACCCGCGGATAAAAAATGATTACCAGCCAATGCGGAGACTTGAAAATTATTGTAATAGTTCATTAATAACGAAAAACAAATTATTATCTTGTTGACAAACGCTCGAAAATCAATTTTACTAATAAAAATTTTATCTTTATTAATGTTGCATAAGCAATAAATTGAGATAAAAAACTAATTTCCTGCAGTTCCAATTAAAATACGGAAGTAACGATATTTAAAACTATTAAATCAGATTTAGCATTACGAAAAAAAATAAACTAAATTAGCACGTTTTTCGGTACTAAAATTATACATCGCACGATAGATGTCTGATTGACACAGCTGCACCAGCTCTGTACTAAGATTCTTTAAATTGTAGAAATGAATCTCAAATTAGAGTTCTTTCAGGCTACACATTAAACTTTCTATTATTCTTATTATAAAATACACTATTTTCTTAACATTTACAAACTTATCTCAAATTGAAATTGGTCATAAACCTGCAGAAAGAACGTCGCTTTTTGAGGTTCGTCTTTACGTGGGTACTAAAGTTTAATTTGCGTTTGATCGAATGCAACTTTTGCACCCACTACCGTATGGCATTTTCCTGCATCTTGATTTATATAGGTGTTGTAAATTTGCATGACGGTGTTGTTTGCATTTTAGGACGCGGTAAGTGTACTTCTATCTATCTATTTTCTCCAAAAAACACACTCTAACTGTAAGTAGACCATTGACATTATTTTATACGATAATAAATACGAATTTGAATTATAGTGCCTTAATAAGTGCATTATGAGTAAGATACTAAAACTTATTTGTCCGATTTTCAGTTGATACTTATTTATTTTTATGGGAAAGTTAAATTCAAAACGATTTTTTTAAAGAAAATTGTTCCTAATCAAACTTCTTGACTCTCTCAAATTACAATTGTCACAATTAATTACACATCAAAATTTCACGTCTCGAATTCGCAAATCCCATTTTCAATATGAAATGTAACGCTCTGATGAGAAATATTACTCTGAGAGTACCTGCGACCAAAGGGGTTCGGTATTCCAGCAGGACGATAAAAAATAATAGCAGGAAATGGTTCGACACTGGCAGGAAACCTCTCTACCTGTCGCACAGGAGATTTTACGCTACTAACAGTAAAATAAATCGGGACTATTCTAAAACGAAAAAATACCAGGAAGACGACGCCGTGTCCTACCAATCCGAACGTAGCGTAATGGAAGATTTGGATAAATCGAAATATTACACCAAACAGCGCCAGGATTCTTCCTGCGATTGCTACGTGAGTATTTTAAATGCGCGTAGAGCTGCACCAAATTCGGGGGAATTATTTGCAGGACAGGTCCGAACCTTTCTTACCTTCACAAGAAGACGAAAAAAGCATTTACCAAGAAAAATTCGAAGAAGAAAATGAAGGAAAAAACGATTGCAAATATTGTGCTGCTGATGCGCGTAGAAAAGTCCTTCGTAATTTGCCCATAATAGGTCCAATTTATTCCTTGTTTAGTTCGTCGAAGTACAGAGATTACTAATATACAATTTTTTTTCCTAAATGTGCATTTGCGAATAAAGGACGATTGTAACGGAACAATTTTCTCGATTTAACCACAACTTTACATCGAACAATCGACACAACAGTTTACAATATTTATTCTACTATTTAACTACCGCTCTGTGGTGTTGTAATAATGGCTTTGTAGGTGCTAGACCTTCAAAGGGCCCTACACGCAGAGCCTGCATCAACGTCGGCTGAAACTAGCAGCAAAGTGAGTTTCAACGCCAGAAAGCTTGCTTTGCATTCGGTTCGCTCGCCTGGAGTACGGTTTAAAAGAAACGTTTTACATTTTTCTCGTTCACGATACATCCCATATACGCATTTTCCGTAAATACATTTCACATAAAATATCTAATGTAAATCGTTTCTACTTCTCATGTATTATACACGCTTATTGCATTTTGTACATTTTCTGTTGGGCCAGCAAGGTTAAGGGCAAGGTATTTTTTACAACATCCTGTATATAGTGACTGTTACCGGCGTCGAAAATTACCGTTTGATATTTCGAAATAATTTTCGTTTAAACTTAAACAGTCGCTTTATTTGCACCCCCGAGTGCGGAAAATTAAGCGAAACTTTTTTTCCGGTTGATTTTACGTTTTCAAATTTAACGTCGAAACTTCGGAATTCGCGTAATTCGAAACAAACCGGGGCGGTTCGCAACGCGATTCGGATTTAATTGGAAAATTATGCAGTTAGAAAGGAAATTTACGTTTAGAGAAAAACTCGATTTTTTGACTAATTACGCGCTTCTCGTCGCTTTACGGGGGTCGCGGGAAAAGTAACGCGCCTTTTCCGAAGGAATCCAATCGAAACGAAGACAAACGAGGCGTAAACTGAGGCGCTTCAGCTGATAGTTGATTACAGCCCTTGTGGCTCGGCGATTGTCAGTTGTTTGTCTAATTTAGGGTGATTACGGGGATGTCCGGGAGCTCGTGCAAGCCCCGGAGTCCTATGTAAACGACCTGCCTACCCGCGATCTCCATATATACTGAAATACATATCGTTCGGACTAAACACTATACACTTTAGGGAGAGATATTCACTAAAATTAAACCTTGCACACATAAAATATGATTCAATAGTAGTTGTGTTAAATTTAGTAAGTATATCTAATAATTTCTCTGTCTATACGAGTTAATAATGCATCTTTAGCTTCAATTATAAGGGACCGAACGCATTGTATACTCACGAGAGAACACAACAATAAATATTTGCCCTCGGTGTATGAGGGTGCATTGGATAGTTAGTAGAATGGATGAATTTTAATCGGGTTATTAACGAGAAGCTGCGGTGTCGGTTACCAGAAGTTTCGTGTAAAAATATTGAGTTTTTCTCGCGTAAATGTCCGGTGAAATTGTAAATTTTGTTCCCGTTTTTGATCGTTTGAAATTAGCCGTAGATGTAAAACGTTAGTTAATAGACGACCAGTTTAGTCTAATGGTAGTTTTGTAGTCTAGTTAGTATCAAATGTCGCTTATAGGTGCTAGAACTGCAAAGGGTGCTACATAGGGAAATACCGCCCTCTCAAGAAAATTGTCCGCCTAGAGAAGATCCGAATGTGAGTGAGCAGGCTCACTTGGCTTGTTTTAGATTTTTCGTTTGCTTGTTTTGGATTTTCCGATATTTTACTGTATTAGCAACTTTTTCTTATCGCAACGTAACGAAAATAGTACAAAAAAGGTTTTTTTCTTGAACTTGTTGCAAGTTTTGTCAATTGGCGAAGTATTCAAATTTAAGTTGGGAACTTTGTTCACTTAATATTTTTGTTACGTTTGGAAAAACTTTTATTAAATTGCACTTCAAGAGTAGTTTGATTCACTAGATTTTGTTTTTTCCAAAAAATATTCGAATTGAAGGATATTTTTTGTGCCAATTTAATAATAGTTATATAATTTAAATAATTCTTTACTATGATTCATTCTACTTTTTTCGATCAGTTTATTATTTCTTTTTGTATCTCTAATTTGTAGTTTTTGCACGAGAATTAAGTATTCAACTATTTTTTTTTGCCGATAATTGCATGTTTTGAATAACCCAATGTTAATATTTTACATTGTAGTCGTATCAATTATTTTGATACCTACTAATTTTTAACGCATTATGAAGTATCAAACATTTCGATCTCGAAAAAACACCAATTAAAAACGTTTAAAGCGAATTAAAACGAAAGTACCTGTTCAATTCACGTTGATTTTTTCAAAAAAAAACTAAGAGTCACGGTGTATTCAGCTTCTGCGCACAGCTTCAAAAATTCGACGCCTAATTAAAAGTTTACTAATTGCCAATTAAACGGAGTGTTACCGGAACCAACAAAACATTGCACCTTTTGAGTTTTTGTAGAATTTTTGCTTTTTTGTACCGATTACGTAATAGACTCAGCACCACAAGAATTTTTTTAATATTCGCGAAAATATCATATTTTTTAAATCGTTTTCGTATCTACATTACGAAATGTTGGGTCTATGTAAATTAATTATATTATCAATGTGAATTAATAGTTTTTTTTTCCTATAAAGAAACATGAGTTAGTGTTAGTAATCATAACAACTATCGCACTAACTCGTGGTGAGCTGAAACTAAATCTCATTATTTCATTTTGTTCTTGTAATTTTTTCGTGTCCTTATCATACACATCATAGCTTTTCTCTGTGTTTTGATCATACGCTTTAGAGCTGTCATATTTTATTTTTCGCCAACGACGAAATCGACTAACAAACGAGGTTTAGCCATTTATTTTTACCTGCTAATAATGTTCGTCTAACATTTAATTCAATCCTGTCGGTACGTCTCTGTTCTAATTCAATCAGTCGAAACGGGATCGACCTTCATTAAGAGATTGATTTTCATTTGGCTACCCTCATGTTTATTCGGACATAATAATGAGTTTATCAATATACAAAACACTGTTTACCTCCTTCGCGCGTTTTCTTTGAATTTCCCTCTGCGTGATTAGATTCATTGAAGATCAGTGGCGTAAACCGATTATTTGTTGGTCATTTCTCAACCAGAAATTATTGACTCTGCACATCTTAAATACGAGTTAGCTATTTAAATTGTGTAGAGTCAAGCGTACTATTTCGTTGCATTGTTAACGTGCGATCGTTTTTAGAATAAGGTTACTGAAAAATTTAAGAGGCCGTTCAAGAAGAGGCACTCTAGCGTTTACCACCAGCCGTCTAATAGGGTTAACAAATATTTGGCCCAAGCCATTGAGGCACGGAGCGTGGATAGGGAGAAATCGACGCACGTTAATTTAATTACTCTCTGTTTTAAAGATAGACAAAAAGAGGACCAGGTAAATCGAGTTAATCGCACGCTACACGCGGAAAATTAATTATAAATTCTCCCCGTTTTAGTATCACAACGACATCGACGTGGGATACAGTTCGACGTTAGCCTGTGCCTTGGTTCTATTAGTATTGCTCGGCACCGTCCAAGCCACCATACTGCCCAGAACCACGATTTTGTTCATTTTGTTTCTAGTTGCCTTCGTTTGGATAGCCGTGGTGCTGATGTTACTGCTGGCGGTACGTTTGCGCTGGATCCTCTGGGACATATCCCAAAGTTTCGTTCTAAGACTGGCCATTACCGTGTTTACCATTATATTGGTATACGCCGTCGCGCAAGTTAACGTCGTAAGTTTCCTCCAAGTTGCGGCTTAGTCGAGAAAAGTCACTTTTTGAGTTTTTAGTTCACGTGTTTACCGGACGTAAACTGCTATTCCCAAACAACGGCGAACATTACGTTGGAGGGAAGGGACCACAGGGCGTGCCCCCTGCCGCAATACATCGTCCTATCGTGTGCCCTTGGATATTTGGCTGTGGCTATATTTTTAAGGCTTCCGATTTTACTCAAAGCTTCGCTGTTGATCATCATGTCGACTGTGTACATACTACACATTGAACTCTCTCACATTGACCTCTTCCTGTGCTACGATATTAGAGTTAGGTGAGTTACTCGTGCGAATTACCGCGCGTTGTGAACCTAGCACAATCATCATAAAAATCGCTATTTTCAATCTCGATTAACTGCTCAACCCGATGAGGAAATGGACTCTAAAATGGCACTTTATAATGCATGAATTTTTATATTTTTATGATGATGGGAGTGCTAGGTTCGATTGCGTTGTTTGCTACATCGGAAGGGTTTCAGTTACGTGATTCCGCTGCACGTGGTCAGCGTGGTGGAGGTGCTCATGTTCGTTTTGGCGGTGTTCATACACGGTCGACAAGTCGAGTGGACGGCCCGGCTGGATTTCCTGTGGCAGATCCAGGCGAACGAGGAGAAGCGCGACATGGACGCGCTGCAGCACTCGAACAAACGGATACTGTTCAATTTGCTGCCCGCCCACGTGGCCACGCATTTTCTGGACAACCAGTTCCGGAACAACATGGTGAGTGTGGCGCTCGCCCAATAAAATAATTTAATTGCCTACCTCTTCGCATCGTCGCCGGACGGTTATTAGATTTTTTTACTGGGGTAAATATGTGTTCGTGTAGGCAACATTTGTGTCGTAAATTACTGCTTTTGTATCTATTAGTCATTTATTTTGCTTTGTATTATATTCGGTTCGTTGCATTGCATTTGCTTACTGCTCGTTTCGAATACATATTCAAATTATAATCGAATGCAATGTTACAACCGCCGGTTTTTAGCAAAAGTTTTTCGTTCGCTGAAAGATGTTGGCTGCACACCGAAGAAGGGTTTAAATCGATTTTCCCGGGCGTTCTCTTACAGACCACTCTATCGCAGGAACTCTACCACCAGAGCTATTCTCGCGTGGGCGTCGTGTTCGCCTCGATCACGAACTACCACGAATTCTATACCGAATTGGACGGCAACAACCAGGGCGTCGAGTGCCTGCGGCTGCTCAACGAAATCATCGCCGACTTCGACGATTTGCTGTCGGAGGAGCGCTTCAAGGCCATCGACAAGATCAAAACGGTCGGCTCCACGTACATGGCCGCCGTCGGCCTGATGCCCGACCTCCGCATCCTCGACGACGACGAAACCACCGCCGCCACCCACCTGACCACCCTGGTCGAATTCGTGTTCGCCATGCGCGACCGCCTGCTCAACATTAACGAGAACTCTTACAATAATTTCATGCTGCGAGTGGGTAAGTGCGCGGCCTAAACTCCACCAAACCGCGACCATTCTTCGATCGAACAGTAAGTAACCGATTCGCATGTTGCCAGGCATTAACATCGGCCCGGTGGTGGCGGGCGTGATAGGCGCCCGGAAGCCCCAATACGACATTTGGGGCAACACGGTGAACGTGGCCAGTCGCATGGACTCCACCGGCCTGCCGAACCACACGCAGGTCACCGAGGAGGTGTTCCAGGTGCTGCGCACCCACCCCTACGAGTTCCAATGTCGCGGCAAGGTGAAGGTCAAGGGAAAGGGGGACATGACGACGTATTTCCTGATCGACAGGAAGCAGCCCGGCACGCTGAGGATCGAGGAGCTGAGCAGCTTGAGGTCCAGCGTTAACAATGCGAACAGTAAGAACACATTGGTAATATCGGTAATATTCTTAGATTTCGTGTGGGACGATGTGCTGTTTCTCATTCTGATTAATAAGGCGTTTATATGTGCTTGTATTGGTAGAATAGCATTGGGTACAATATGGTTTGTTTGGGTATGTCCAATTAATACACATTAATCACGCCGCTGATGATATCGTTTGTATAGTACCGAGTCGATATACTCTACAATATTAATATATTTGTATGGTTTTTGTAGATATTAACAACATGTATGGAGGTGTAGCGACGCCTTTAGTTCTACTGCACCACAGCGACTTGAACAACGGTCGTGCCAAGCACAACTCCATTCAATCTCGTCAATCGTCCCGCGAGGATTCGTATACAGTCTCCAGAAACGCCATGCGGCTGCCGCCTCTCAGAGAAACCGCCTCGCATCACGTCAACGGCTGCGAAAACGAACCGTTGCTGCCCAATTGCCGGTTAGTCGAACGCAATTCGAGATAATCTCGAAGTTAATTCTACCTCATTTTTATTGTAGAAATAACAAGAAAAAATCAGCACCGTCAGAAGAAAGCCTACCTCCGCCTCCTTTACCGCCTCACAAAAACAACACTCACAATTCTCACATATCTCATAACACACCGTTGCAGTGTACACCGGACATGAGGTATAACCCCCCTTGGCCCGTGGATAACACCAAACCATATCTAAAACCATTACCGAAACCTCCCGGAAAAGAATCGCCTAACAGACATAACAGGTAAGCTCGGCTCTGCGATCAACCAAACAAAACTTACCCCTATACATCATCGCTCTCGAACGTACATACTAATACAAACCTACTCCATTGTACACTTACTAAATCGTGTCTTCTCATTACGTTTTTTTCCCCATTTTTCCAGAAAGCACAACATCGCTCCGATACCCCCACCTCATCAAAACATCCAGCGTACCCCGCCGCTCACCCCGGAGCTCCTGCGCTCCAAAATGCAGACGCGCCACGCGCCCCTCGCCCATCCCCGTCATTCGCCCCATCACCAACGCCACAGCCCCCTGCAGCGCCACTACTCGGACGAGAGCCTCGGCGGCGGCGCCTACAACGCCGGCGTCCCGCACAGGATCCACTCGTCCGCCGACGAAATCAGCAGCCTCAACCACTCGCCGAGCATCAGCAGCTCGGACGAGAGCTACAGCCGCACGACGGACGCCGACGCCAGCCCGTGCGTGTCGCCGCCGCTGCCCGCCGACGCCCAGCAGTACCTCTACCCCTCCGACATCCAGGTGAACCCACTGTCGTCGCCGGAAGTATCGCCGCGGGCTTCGTTGGATTACATTCCGCCGAACTGCTCGTTGAAGAACAACCAGGACAACAAGAGGAACAACCTGCCGCCGAGCGCGTTGCTGGCGCTCGCGAGCACCTGCAACACGGTGAATTCGTCGGTGGTGACCAGCCCGCCGGTGCTCGACGGCGAGGACAGCTGCAGGGGCGAGAGCTGCGCCAGCTTCGAGTACGTCACCAAGACGGCGCCGTTGCTGCGCAGCGTCTCCAGCAACGGCGCGCGCGGCGCCAAGAAGATACTCAATTTGGACAAGTACAGGACGAGGAACGACAGCGATTCGATACTGGAGTGCAACATACTCGCGTCGGCTTGCAAGCGCTCGCCGAGCTTCAAAGAAGCCGACGAGATTCGGCAGTTGTTGGCCCGCGACGATGATAACAAGACGACCGCTAGCAGCGACAGGAGCTCGAGGAAGGACGGTTGTTGCCAAACCGACAAAAAAGACATCCGAAAACTCAGGAGCCCTGTACTGTTCAGAGAGAGAACCAGTCCGAACAACAAAATAAGCAACATCCCGTTCGAAAGGGAGATACAGAAGCTGCTCGACGAGCAGAACTTGCTGCAGAACATCCCGCCGAAGCTGGAACTGAAAGAGCTGGCGCTGGAGCCGCTAGTCAGGTAACTCGTTTGATGTTCTCGTCCGAAACGGTCGCCCCGTTCTTGTCTGTGTTTGCTAACGAACTTTTTCGCCAAAAAGGTACGCACCGAACAACAACAATCACCAAGTGGGTCTGGCGGCCATACAGGCGCTGGCGCTCGGTTTGCGCCAAAACAACGGCGCTAACGCGGCGAATACGAACGTCGCCAACGTGTCGCCCTCGCCGCGAGCAAGCAGCAAGGAGGGGTCGCTAAAGCGCGGGGCTTCGCCCGGTACGCCCGGACAGGACGGCATTAAATTGGCCAAAGTGTCGCCCCTTGACAGGTACAGGACATTGCGGGCCACGTCAATGATCTGGCGTTTTAGTTTCTAACGAAGGATTTAGATTATTAGTCTGACAGAATTGCGTATATCTCGATGCATGCGTTTCTACTAACATTCGAATCGTAGAGCGTAGAATTAACGTTCGCAACTGGTTAATATGTCGATACAATCAATTTACACTAATCCATGCTGCTTGCTCAGCACCAATCACGCTTTATCATCTCTCATCATCCGATTCCTTCGAGTTTCGTTGGTGTCCGACGAAGCTTTTTCACATTTTTGCCGCGATCATTCGAGCCGCTCTTAGGCGCGCGCTATGCGACAGCCGTGAGAATTCGTAGCGTTTCAATAGCCTAGATCGCTTTGCAGGTGCCCGAGGACCGCCGAAGAGGACGAGGAGGACGGGGAGGAAGCCGATTTAGACTGTGATATGCCCGAGATTCGGCGCCACGACGACGACACCGACCTGGAGAGCTTCGAGCGCGAGGAGAGACAGATGGAAGAGGAAGCCGCAAAGGTAAATAGATTGCCTGGTGTTCCAGAAGTAACTGGCGTTTTAAATCTTTATTTGAAATTAAAGATGACATTTTTATTGGTTTAGCAGGGCAATGAACAAATTTACATTATAGGATAGGGTAGAGTAAACAGGAGAACGATATTTGAGAAATAACGCTTATTTTGTAACAGTCGTTACTGCACCTCTATACAAAAAATTGATGTTCACCTCTATTAAACTTCTGTCATGCGAAATGTCATTAATGTCAATTTTGACAGTTTGCGACACGGCCGTATATTATTTAGAATTAGAAGCTCAGATAATAACTAAATTTGTTATATTCTTGTTAATCAAAGTTTAGAATAGAAGATCTGGAAATTATTTGGATTTACAGGAAGTTTTGCTCTTATTGTGACTTTTGTTCGAGGTTTCACGGAAAATCCGCTAGGAACGCTAGTATCAAGTAGCTCAATACACTTCGGGTTTATGTATCATCGAACGCATCTTAAAGTCCTACTTATTCGCGTTCAATGCTAAAATTTGAAAATTTAGAGTAAAAGAGAGTAGGGTGGAAAATTCAAAATTATATAATCGTTATCATTACCTCCATGTTTACTTATGACAGCAAATAAATAACCTCTGGGCTAGTTTTACAACGAAAAAAATTGCTACTAATTTAAATCGTCCGTTACTTTTGGGCTACCCTCTATAATATAACCAGTTTTTAAAAGCAATATTAAATGTTTTTATACAAGCTTCCGGTGGACAAAGAACTGGTAAATAACACTATAAAAACGTCCTACTTTCTGCTAATATTTGCTATCTACAATAACTTACAGGAAGCCGAAGTGAAGCGGTTGTTGGAGGAGAAAATCCAGGAGAAGCTGCGGAATCTGGAAAACATCGCGCTGGAACCATTGGGACAGGAACGAACCAGCACCGCGGTGGAGGGCAGCCCGTCCGAGTGGTCAGAAGACGAAGACGGCGGCGCCTCCGAGCCCCTTCTCAACGACAGAGAATCCACCGGCTACACCACCGACGATCCCGCTTTGGAGAACATCTCCATGATCAACGAGACCGGATTAACCGACGCAGAAGGTAACATTTCCAACACATCCCAAGCGGTTCTTGGTACAATCGCTCCCATATTTCACGATGACTCTTCCATCGCGGTTATCCGTCTAACTTTGAAGCGTTTCACGATAAATTTCAGGCGCTCTGAGCGACGTGAATTCGGCGTACATCGACCACAACCACGACGTCGACATGGACGACAACACGAGCATGTCGTCGCGGGCGTCGTCGCGCATCTTCGACTCGGACGCCATGATGTCGCTGGACTCGCTGAGCGCGCTCTACGACTCCGAGTACGACAACTGCTATCGCACCGACGACGATCTGAACGCCATGCCGGACCTCGACCGGCTCAACTACTTCTCGGTGCCCGCCGACGACGTGCACCTGCAGAACATCCGGTCGATGAGCGAGAGCATCACCAGGAACTTCGGGCAGCCGCGCAGCGACAGCGATCCGGACAGCGACGCGTGAAACGCCCCGTTCGCTGGACTGTAATCCCGATAAATGCGAGTAAGATTGTTAGAGCGCGCTGATGAGGATGTAGGTGAGTTGGGAACATATCTGGCTCGTAGTGGAATTAGTTCTGTTTGTTTTTTTATTAATTTAGAACGAGTGTATTCGTAGAAATTGACTCGAGAAGTGTAAATAATGTACAGACGGTTAAGACGCTATTTAAAGGTACAAATTGTATATAATCGAGCATCCTCTTAGTCTAATTCATACATATCCAACCCTTAAATACTCTAAATATAGTATTCAATAAAATTGTTTGTTTAAATAGGTTGGAAACCTCTTAATTATATCATATACAGTCAATTCGAGCGATTAGTAAAATCTCATTAAAAACCTTTGATGTATAATAATGTAGTCTTAACCGTCGAAATTAATCGATAAGGGTGCTGTGAAGCATTGAAGGGGCTGATTTTTTTGTGATCATTTATTATTATGTACTTTATATTGTTATTAAGGGTGGCTCTCTATGTATCCTTTCGAGGCGTAGACTCGTCGTTACTTCCCTAATTGGGTCAAGTACCAAAGATGCAAGTATTTAAAGTGTAATTTATTATATTCATCGTAATTAACAAACTGCATATTATTTTTGAGGGAAACGAATTTTGAGTGAAAGGGAGTTTAATATGTCGTTGGATTTGTATAAATGTTAATGGTAGTTTTCGTTACTTTTATTAATTAACAGTGGAATCATGTAGAATTAAACCATTTAAAACGTAATCTATAAACTTCCTTTTATCGAATAAATTAGTTGAATTAATTAAGTTCTATACTGTTACCAAAATGCAATACATTTTTTTTGTAATGTTATGTTTGTACTTTACAATTTTGTTTGAAAATTTGTAATTAAGTTTAAAGCGATCGTATATTAACGTTAAACTTTTTTACAAATAACTATTGTTTATATTATTTTTGTACTTATTTGTATTAAGATTTGTTCTATTTTTTTCTTGCGAATTGTGCTTTCTAATTACTTTATAGACCGCTCAAATCCAATTTGGCGGTTCAAATTTGAATGTCTTAGCAGTACAGGAATGCAAATCATCGATCATAATCTGTTATAAAAATTAAGTTACTCTTCAACACTTTTAAGCTCTTATCAAAGAGTAAGATATTCTTCTGCTACTCGAAGTATTAGTTATAAGTCTTGTACTGTTAATGCAAGTAACTTTGGAATTACAATCGTACTAAAGTAATGAGAAATAAATGGAATAGAGTGTACCATTTTATAAATTTGAATCCGAATTACTATAATGTGGTTCACTCTAGTTTTCATAGTCGAATGAACCTCGTTTTTATTTTCTGTGATCACCATTCGAACCTATAAGCACTCAAGATGATATTGGTGGTGTGTAAATATTAAAAAATATATAAATATTTCTATTTTTCTTAAATGTTCGAATATAATTCTCAATGTTGAAAATTTTTAATTGTATTTAAAGTTTTCCGTTCTTAGCGTTTGTTGAAAAACTTTTTTCTACTTTTTATCTCTGTAAAAGCATTACATATATCTATAGTGTATGTTGAAAAATGTTTTATTAATTTATTAATTGCTTAATGACTTGAATAAATAATCAAAAAATATCCCAAGTACTCATAAAGTGTTGATTTTTCTCATCGGATTATTCCTGTTGGAATAAAATTGACGAATTTATATAGGTTATATTATCTAAAATAGTTCAATAACTTTAGTTTCCCATAAAGAGAAATATTTTGAAGCGTTAAAAAATTATTTATTTTCCTTTAAATATTTAAATATGAATACAATAAATACAACACCTAAGTATATTGCACAGATATAGACAAACAAAACGTGTTAAATAAATTAATTTATTAAAATAAAAAACCTCGTTAACTAAGATTACATTTCTCCTATTAGAAAAATAGAAAAAAAATTCTGACCATTTGGAATGGGTTATTTTAAAGTACATATTTGGTTTTGGAGGTAACTTTTGAGAAAATTGAAAAAATAAGTAACGCACCTTTAGAAAGATAAAAAAAACGGAAATCCTATTTAAAATATCACAAAGCAATTACAAGATATCTAAAAAAAATGCGTATACACACAAAAATTTCCGAGTTAACTGCATAAAAATCTCAATTAGTGGCAAAATTTTGTAATAGAAACAAAACAATTATCACAAAATATAACTAGCAGGATTGTCCTTATGCATCTGCTCCATGAGAAGCATATTTTTTTAAATTACTTAGCGTGCTTAAGAAAATATTTGTGTAATTGAAAAAATTATTGTGTACTAGACACATTGCACTATTATCACTAATTTGCACCTTAATTACAATTAATTTCCTTTCATCTTCCACCGAAAACCTAATTAACAAATGCTTCTACAGAACAAACGCATAGCCAAACCCGCGTCATCAAACAAAAGGACAGGCAAAATACAACAATAATTTTATTGCAATAAAAAAAAACAATCCAAATCACCACAGTTTGTTGTGGTAAAATTTCAAATCGACATAACCTTGTTCGGTCAGGTGACTTGGATTTTTCCTTGGGGAGGGAGTCACGTTTTCGCCGCACAAGAAATTTTCGGTAGCACCCCTAACTTTGATTTTTTCCTCGACGGGCTCCTCGACGTCCAATTCCTGCGCCGCGACGTCGACGGGATCGGCCAACGAGTCCTTGTCCACCTCGTCCTTGTCCGCCTCCCCCTCGTCCCGATCGTCCTGTGGCTGTATAACCAACGAACGGGGCCGTTCCAATTTTGTTTGATTACCGTGCTCGGGCTCTTTTCGTACGTTACTGGAATATTTTTTTGCACATCTTCACATGCGTTTATTCGATTTATGGGGATGCAATGCGACTACATAAAAAATAAAAATATAAAAAAATTAAAAACGCTAACAAAAGTGTGTGTGTGTGATAATGCTTTAGTTTTAGTACCTGCTAATTTTTTTGAATGTAGCAGAAAAATCCTTTCGGGGATTGGTGAGGCAAAGGAATTTGGTTATCGGTTCTAAACTAACAATTTTATCGACCTTATTAAGGCCTAATGGGAATGGGATGAGTAAATATTCGAGATCTACAAAAATTTTATAGTTTAATCAAGTTATCTAGCGAGTTATCCCGTGCAAACTTACTGGGAAACTTGCGGCGGGTATCCGTATTTTAAATCGTTCTCGGTGGGTTTCCTAAAAAAGCGACTTTAATTCCACCAAAACTCACAATTTCGCTCAAAATTCCTTACTTAACGTAATCAGTACCGTCGTTCTTAAAGCGCACGGCCGTTTGGACTCTAAACCTGTCAGCTCCGCACACTGCAGAGTACGGCCTATCGCCCATTTCGTTCACAACATTCTCCAAGCTTTGATTGATCTGCTGTTGCAGCTGATAATCGCCCGATTGTCCCGTAACGTACTGATTCGCCTTTAACGCATCTTGAGTTTTATCGGACATATTCTGCATGGGCGGAATGTTCGAGGTTTGATTAGCGTACAACATCGGAGGGATTTCTTGCTAAAAGATTCATTAGAAATTTGTGGAAAATGTCGGAAATTTACAGTGGAAATTTAACCTTGGAAACGACGGGTGACACGGCGGCGGACATGGCCCTTCGGGCGTAGTCGCCCGAAGAGGCCATGGTGAAGTTCCCGTTGATTTGGGGCACGTTTCCGACGAGATTCGGCGAGAAACTGGGCGCGGAAGCCGTGGTCGTCGCGAATCGCGTCGCAGCCGAAGCTTGGGTCATGGGAGTCGATTGGATGCCGTGAAGTGGTTGATAAGTCGAAGGTTGAGCGGTCACAGAGGGCATTAAAGGCGCCATATACTGTTGGCTAATTTGCGGTTTAACTTGGGACATCTAATAAAAAAATTAATCGTAACCAAACGAGCGTAGAATCTACGGATTCTTACTAATTGGTCCATCTGGGGTATGCCTTGGCCCATCATCTGGTTCTGATACGCCTGGTTTTGGGGAGGATACGACGTAACGCTCGGAGCAGCCATTTGCTGTTGCGCCGCCATGTACGCAGCCATATCAATTTGCTGTTGAGCCATCAGAGCGGCGGCTTGTTGTTGAGCAGCCATATTCGCCGCCTGCTCGTTCATCTCCTGAACTTGCTGCTGCTGAGCAACCGCGTTCGCCGCCTGTTGTTGAGCCAACATACTCGCCGCTTGCTGTTGAGCTTGCAAGCTCGCGGCTTGCTGTTGAGCTTGCAAGCTCGCGGCTTGCTGTTGAGCTTGCAAGCTCGCGGCTTGCTGTTGAGCTTGCAAGCTCGCGGCTTGCTGTTGAGCTTGTAAATTCGCCGCTTGTTGTTGTGCCTGCAAGCTTGCCGCTTGCTGTTGAGCTTGCAAATTCGCCGCTTGTTGTTGTGCTTGCAAACTTGCCGCTTGCTGTTGAGCTGCTTGTTGTTGAGCTACTTGCTGAGCTGCTTGTTGTTGAGCTACTTGCTGAGCTGCTTGTTGTTGAGCTACTTGCTGAGCTGCTAAGCTAGCCGCTTGTTGTTGAGCAGCTTGTTGTTGAGCTACTTGCTGAGCTGCTATGTTGGCCGCTTGTTGTTGCGCGGCCATGTTTGCAGCTTGTTGTTGTGCAGCCATATTGGCAGCTTGTTGTTGCGCGGCCATGTTGGCAGCTTGTTGTTGGGCTATTTGTTGCTGATCAATTTTATTGGCTTGTTGGGCGGCTAGGTTTACGGCTTGTTGGTAAGCCTCTTGTTGGTTGTACATGTTCGTGGCTTGTTGTTGAATATCCGCGTTATTTTCGTATTGTTGTGCAGCAATGGAATTGGGATCGTTAGATTGTTGATATTGTTGGTAATTGGCATTAGTTTGGCCTGACTGCGTACCATCGGCGTAGGTCGCATTAGCTGTTTTATCGCTTTGGTTTGGTTTAGGGACTTGGTAGCTGTCTAGATATGTAGTCGTGGTATCCATAACGTAATTGGGCATTGTTTGATAAGGAACATTTTGCGGGCTTTGGGCGTAACCGTTCGTTGAATCTTGCACCATTTGAGCAGCGGTCCCGAAAGCTTTAATCATTAAATGTAAATTCTAATGGTGTTTATATAAAATTTCGTTTACCCTGGTTTGCAGTATTGGGATCCTGTTGCCAAGTCGCGTTCGGATAATTAGCTTGCATTTGATTTTGGTACTGATTGTAGTTATTTTGAGCATAATACGCAGCATTTGGAGAACCCGTGGAATATGCATTGGGACTTTAAAAAAGGATTTGTAAGGAAAGGCGGACAATTGCGGGAGAAACAAATTACCTGTAGGTCTGTTGGTAACCTTGGTAATTGGTGGTGGGAATTGATTGGACGCTAACATGCAACAATGTAAAGTACACAGATAAAAATTAATGAAAATAAGCTAGATAATTGCGATGGAATTTCAACTTACCCGCCGATCTCTTGCCTTTTATCGCTTGGTGATTGATTGTGGATTATCTGCAAAAAATTGATTCGATTATATTCTATGAATTCAAAATGAAATTAGATATCCAGATATACCTGTCCCATGCTGCAAGGCGGTCTTGGGGCTCCGTATCGTCCCAAAGGGGATGGTACCGGTTGCAGACCATTAGCCGAGTTCGGATTATTTTTGCTACAATTAGTTTATGATTGATGTTAAAATTATTTAGCGCAACAGAATGAGTTTATTTTTATTAATAATGTAATTATAAAGAGAAAGTTGAGAATACGATGAAATTATTATTATCTACAGTTGTAAATTTCCGTTAGATTCATAATTACATTACGTTAAAAAACTAGCCCCGAGATTTAAACATACAACGGAATATTTTATATAGCTCTAGTTAAAAATATTTAATGTAAAATATGCGCAATACAAAATCGTTATTTTTTTTAGCTAAACGTCAAGTGTTTTCTCCTGTAAATATTTCGGCAGTAACGTGTCTTCAACGATCCTAGTTGACTTTTTTTAGTTTAAAATTTCTCTTCTTCGTTACCCTGCAAAAATTAATTTGTTAGAAAAGTAACCGCCGAAATATTTACTAGGAAACCCTCCGTTCGTCGCGTCCATGTTTAAAGAGCTCGGGTATAGTCGAGTTACAGCCATTACACCTCTAAAAAATTTTTACACAAATGCTACGTACTTCCGAAGTCCCGCCGCCTCCTGCTGCGGTTCCGGCGCCGGAATTCCTCGCCTCGGAAAAAAATCGTCGAACACCACGTAATTGTTCATCTGCTTGACGGGATCTCTCAGCGAGTAGTGCTTGTTGAGAAAACCCAGGAGCTTGTCGCTTGGTCGATCGATCGCCATTTGTACCGGCGCTATTCCTTCTTTCTAAAAACGCTCCACTAAAATAACGTGCCCTTCGCGCTCGTCGAACTGTTACCTGTAGCATGTGTTCGAAAAGTACCTTTCCCAAACCATTGCGTTGCTTGCTTTCGTGCACGTAAAAATCCAACAAACACGGCGGTTGAACTTGATAGTGATTGCCGTCCCGGTCGAACACGTATAAACTTTTATTTCCAGTTTTTAGCATGCCCGTTACGGCGCCTTTTCCACTAAAAATTCATAAATAAATCATCGCCTTGCTCTAAATTGTTAATGCGCCGTGTATCGTCAGTACCTGTTCGCCTTTTGATCGATAAGAAAATATAGTTTGTGTTCGGAATTCCTAATTCTATCGGCTGTAGTGATAGCTTTGTTTAATCCTTGAGCTGCCGCAGACGCTGCGCCCATTTGGTTTACTATTTCACCCACCTTAGATACGGTATCCCTGAAAATAAACTTATTTTAGTTTGCATTTTAATATAACACATCACATTTTGTTTGAGTATCACACATTTCTGATTTATTGCAAAAAATTGTTTAGAATTCCCTGGAGACTACAAGATTTAATTTTGCTTTTTCTTTCATGGTGAGATCGCTTGTTAATACAAATTGTAGCAAACAGTGCATAATTAGGAACTACACAATTGAGAGCAATTTCCCGTAAAATGAAATAAAACTACAAAAGATAATACTAGAGAATTGACCTCGAAACGCCAAGTAATGAACTACTGTATATGAGTAATGGCAATTTCATGCTAAAATCACGTTGGGAAACGTCAATAAACATTAAAGTGCCCGTTTAATAACCTTTTAAATGGATTATTAAGTTATATGGGCGTATAGGACTTTATTTTCTACCCTTTTTTCATGCATAAATTCAGTAGTATAGTAAATTCTGAGTACTGGGAAATGAAATGTTTTAAAAGTGATCATCCAGAAGAGTAGAAACTTCTGAAGAAGAGAACAAAAAGTCTTTTTCATAATAATCCAAAATATTATTTTGTCAGTTTGTTAGATTGATTGACAGCTCAGTAAATTACGTGTTACTCAAAAATAATAATAAAATAATGATATGTTAAGTTATAGAAGGAATGTTTAAAAAGAATCTTTTAACATTAAAAATGGGTGCTGAATACAAGATTCCATATTTTGGAACTTATCCAGCGTGTATGTCAATACATTTAATGGGGAACAAATCAATTATAAAAATATGATAAATTTATTAAAATAGTTATATTGGAGATATTACCAGAGTGCCCTTCGGTCACCTGCATACCCCGGCGGGATGAGATTGGGCGTTATTTCCACTATCGGCGACTTGAACACATCATTTAAATTAAAACTAAATTCCATTTTACTTTTACTTTAAACAAATTCAACACTTGACGCGTAAAAAATCAAAATAAACGTCCACGAAACAAACACAAATTTAGCTCTTTCCGAACACTAATATCTCAATTTCAACACTTCAATCATCGGCTGTTTGACGTTTACTGGATCGTTTTTTGTTTTGTTTTCGTCGATTTCCAACGACGACTGGGCAATTACGAAATTTCATCCGCGAAGTAAAATCAAAAGCGTGACACGGAGTCCCGTTACCTGCGTTTCCGAGCGTAGGAAATTATCGAAAAGTCGCGAGATATCTGCTAGGTGAACGTGTATCTTTATGGTTGTACGTCAGCAACATTGCCAAGTGAGTTTTTTATTAATCTTTAGATTTTTATCTTTTGTGGGAAAATTACCAGAAGTAATTAATACAACTTTAATTTGGAAGAAATTTATTAGAAAATACTTTTATCAACTGTTCAACTATCAACCTAGAAAAAGGTTTCAATAGATTTCAAAATTTTTATTCATAAATCGTGTAGAGAAGACTTCAATTCGAGATATTTTTACAATCTCTTCATCTACAATTTCTTTATCATTCAAAGCCCAGTAATACATTCATCTTATAGCCCATTCATGTAATAACCCATTCATCTACTAGCCTATTCACCTTGTAACCACGCTCATTCATATCTTATATCTCATTCATCCTTACCTTTACTATAATAGGTGTCATTGATAACTTTCTGGCTGCTTTGCAGAATACTTTCTTATTCATAAATTTATGATAAAAAGTTTTATCATAAATTAATCATAAATCAATTTTATTAAAAACTTCGGCCCATTTTGTAGAAAAACTGTATGATAGTAAAATCTAGAAGGGAAACTTTATTTTCATTTCATTATATCTTTCTAAATCGAAACATTCTTTATGATTTGGTATATTGAATTGGGTGAAGATGTAAAAACCACAATTCAATAGTGTTTATTCATGAAATACTCCTTCTTCACCAGGTTTTATAGAAACCATTTAACAATCATTATAGTAAATTACAACTCCCAATTTCAGTGTAGTAAAATCTTGGATCAAATGATTTAACGAAAGACGTAACAACACTGTATAGTGGTAACCCAGTCATCAAGGTTGGAGTCGGAGTTTCCACAAGCCGTCAGTGCGGCTGCTCTTTCAATTACCAGTGGCGTAACAAGCCTTTTGTTTACCAGCCATAATTACCTGTACTTTCTTTCTTCATAACATTTTTTATTAATAATTTTATGTACGTACATCAATATTATTTTTTTTGTGTTCAATTAAGGCCACAAAATGCGTAGATAAAGGTCACTTAATGAATTCGTTCGTGATTACGCGGTTGCTAAATATAAATTTATATCAACATCTACCAAAATTTGCTTCGAGCACGCACGAATAAAAGTGTTTTATTTTATTTCTTGAGTACCAGTCCGTGGTAGATCATTAGATAACATTAGGATAACATTGTAGTAACAATTGATTGTTCGACGTCAATGTCTTGACACTGTGGTATTGATTTTTGTGAATTGATTTCTAGCACGCTTCATTTTAAATGCAATACGGGATACGGGTGCCTATTAATCGTGCGATATCTGATAATGTATGTATGTTGGCAAGTTTAGACTATGTTTAAACTTGACGTGTGACCATTAAAGGAACGTTGTATGTATGTAATTAACCTTGCGCTGTGGTTGTATGGTAATTTCTATAGTCTAGGTCATGAGCCAAAATAAATTACTCCTCTCATAATCGGAATATGTGGATAATTATCACCTTTCGTGTATGTTGATAATAAGTAGTAAATCGATAAATTGATAGATAAAAAAATATAGTTTAGGATTGAAGATAAATTAGATGAGATGTAAAATGGTAGAATATTTGCAGCCTTATGCTCCATCTATGCACGAAGTAGTCAAGTTAACAGATTGACGAAGGGTTTCTGTAGTCCCTACACCATTATTTCCCCAGTAATATGCGCGATGGCAAAACTGGTACAAATTCAAAATATCTTCGAAAATCGCAAAAAGAAAAAATATTAATTATAAATAAACAATAGATAATTTCGTAGTATCGAAATGACATTGAAAATAAAATAATTACAACATATTTTCAATAAATTTCCAATTTTTGTATACAAATTTTAAGGAAAAACAATTTACCCTAACTTATAGCATCATTAAATAGGTACTACCTATACAATGCTTTTAATTTTCCGGAAAATTTAGATAACATAGCTTAACTTCAATATGCCAAAAACTACAAACCATCAAGTAAAGTTTTTTTTTTGCATTAATCAAGTGCTAGACGCACTATCAGCACTATCATAGATAAACCATCATCAATATAACCGCAAGAACGGCTTTGGTCGGGCGTAAGCTCCCCGGCCATTTCTCATCCAGTCTCTTCCTAAAACGTAAGATGCACCGGTCCGATGTCGGGGTATAAGCCTAATAGACTCATTTGAAATGCAGATGTATGGTCAGTAGTCCGCATAAGATGTGTACAGATGGCCGAGAGGGCATGATTTGTGCGACCACTAAAGGAGTCCGGGCCTCCGGGGGTCTCTCGGCTCCGCGTTATTGCTCATTTCTCTTGACCATATACTGTCGGCCGGTCTTCTGCGGCCCGCCCCCCTTTTCTCGATGCTTATTACTATTAAAGTGTACTATGAATAATGGATAATCTTGTTTGGATTATTCGCGGATGATTTATACACGATTGCGGGTGGACTTTTGGTGTCCGAATTCCGAAAAATGTGCATATTAGAGAATATCACCGCTGTTGTTTTTTGCGAAGGCAAGCTTATCAGTAACAAAAATAACCTTATCAATAACATTGTATGATAATTTAATAGGTACTTTGAAATGTCTAGCAAAAATCGAGTTCAATAAAATTTATCTTTTTATTGTTGTTTTTGAAATTTGTGTAATAACGTAAAATATTTGTTAACAATTCATTAAAATATTCATTTATTTTATGCTTAAAGCTAATACTTCATAATCAGAGTACTGATGTTCTATTCCTGACAAAGGAACGAAACAAACCTTTTTGCTTGGATGAACCTACAAATAGTACAAATGATAATTGTTTAATTATAAACCTGGAACTCTTGAATTGATTCCTTACTTTTCCTACTACCACAGAACCTCTGGAATTACGGATGATTCTTCCGATATACAAGGTTTCTCCATCGGCTGTTTCGCCACCTTCCACAGCATTACAAGGTACTTCTCCATTAGAGCACTCAACCCATTCTCCGTTGGTAGTACACAGGAACTACAAATTGCTTTAAGTTAATATGTGGAAAAATAAGTGTATTATTTTTAAACAGCAGTAGCAAAGTACTTACTTCGAACGTATCGTTTTCAATCTGTCTACCATTATAGGAAAAAAAACAAATATTTTTGCTCGGTATAACGTTAGCTGGCAAATGATCCCCTTTGTAAATAGTTTTGCCAACAAAAACTGGTTCTCCATCATAATCGAAGCCAGCTCTGATGGCTGTTGTTGGAGGTATCCAGGTGTCACGTTTCCATTTGTTGGCCCAACTAGGCTCTGGACTATCTGTTAATTCTAAGATATTCTATCGTTTAGTATCCATTTACACTATATCCACTCTTCACTTGAGTCTATAACTACATAATACAAGGTTTTTTACGCTAGTCCTTCATTAAAACATTTAGGGGTTCCAGAAAGGTTTAATCTGAATTGATAAAATTGATTCAATCTTATGTTACTTCTGGTTATACCAGAACGATATGTCAACTACGTTATTTCAAATAGAAATTGCCATATTTTATTTCAATTTTTTCATTCTGAGTTGCTTTTTAATTTACAGACTTGGATAACTTTTAATGACCGGCTACCGTGAAAAACCCAGTATAATACGTACTGCAGCTTGTTAACATTGAATTGGCGGAGCCCCCAAAGACGACATCGGCGGTCTCTTTTAGAAAGGATAGAAAACCTTAAGCAAAAATATTAATTCTTTAGACACGACATAAGACAACTTAAATACTTAAACACAATTTTTTACGTTTCAAAAATGCAAGAATTGTAGTACTTACCAGCCATCTTGTCAACTTCAATAACTGATATAGCTTTTACCGTGGTTATTGGACATATGTTCCTATCTACTCTGATTTGACTTATGAAAAACTCTATTTTTACTTATTTGTGTACAATCATTTCCGACATTTGAAAAAAGTATTATCGGGTATAAGGATTATCTTAAACAAATAACATAAAATTCGCTTTAAAGAAATTTTGTTCGTATAACTGATTATTGCGAATTGCGATTATCACAACATATCAATGACGCCCAATAGTAATATTTACCTACTTTAGATAACAAATTTCATGTCAACCTACAACGTCTTCTGGATAACAAAAAAATAATGCCACTTATAATTTTTGTGCAAAGTTTCGAAAAATAATCACCGACTATGGAGAACTTGGAAACTCCGAAACTCCCGTTTTAATTATAATTTTAATTAAGTCGAACGATCTACCCGAAGTAATTCGAGAAAGAGACGGATCGCCGGAGAAGAGGAAGAAACGAGAAGAAGAGGATATTAAACGAAATAATTATGTTTAAATAAAAGTCGTATTTCATAAGCCGTTAAAGGGAAAGATGGCGAATCGCGCTCTCGAACAGTACCGGCCTGAGTTAATTAATTTAGATTTTTTTCACCTTTATTATTCATACAACAAAAGCAGTAGTTCGGATAGAAATTTTAATTTATTTTCCTCTTCTTTGAAAATATATTATACAATTACTATTGTACTTATAAGGTACTTGTAAAAATATTCTAAAGTGTTTCGAATAGGTATCGTCGAGCCGACCCTGAAAAAATCGAGGGCCACGCGAAAAGGGTTAAACTTGATGAGGTTCGTATCGGGAAACCAGAGCTCATATTTCACAATTATTAGAGCAACTCGAATCATACACATAATAGGTAATTTCTTGCATTAATTACTCGATTAAATATTAACGGTGGCAATCATAACGCAGAGCTGAACAGGCCTGCCAACCCTTCCGACAGGTTCTATAGATTATGCGGAACGTTGCCTGGTTGGTAATAACCGGAGCCCCCGGGTATTCCCTCAACGCACTTGCTACGTTAGGACTCGATGGGACTTTATACTTTCTGCCATTCAGTTAGTTTGCTGTTGTGTATTACGGATTATAGCGGAAAAGGGGCTCGTTTCCAGTCTATTTTATTACTAATTATCACACAGCATATCGCTAATGTTTCTAACCTCAGTATTATATTTGAAAGCGTCTAAATGAAGCAAAATATTAAGAAAACTTTTCATTTATCGATTTGTTATATTTATTGATTAATTCCCGTTTAATTATTTACCGGACCTCTAATTTCACCCCTGCGAAAATCCACCGTAAGAAGAAAACTCCACCCGTGTATAATTTATAAAATTACATGTTTTTATCGCGCTGCGCTCTTTATTTTCTCCACATAATCAACGGACGAAAATTATATACCCGATCGTTTCAAGTTTTTAAATATATTACAGATACACGTTCGTACAAATTTCCTTTTGTAAAATGATTAGTTTATATTAATTGCGTTCATTTCCATGAATCCAACTAGAAAGATATGTTTAATACAAGTTACTTTAATTATACACATATAGTTCGTTCAATATTTTATATCGTGACGTCACCGCGGTATTGAGGTATTGCATATAGGTACACAAGATTCTCATTAAAGGTAACATAATAAGGCTGATCTGTAGAGATCGAAGATTGGTCTCGTCAAAGTGCAAATCTGTGGCAGGGGGACGCGAAGGTCGAAAGATAAAAGCCGTCGATAATATTTTGTTGGTAATGGAATAGGATAATAAAGACCGTAATATGGCGAGACGGCGAAAGGGAGGACCATTGTTGCTGGTATATCGGCATTACAAAGGCGAAGCTTTGTACGGCCGGAGAGCGAAGTGCATTATCCAGCTTAATACGTCATTGTAAGGACATTAAGTATTCTGCGCAGAGCGGATGCAAGATATCGAAAACGTAAAGGGACTCTCCGGCAGTGTCGATGTTTAAATATCTTTTTTCTTTCACTTGCGTTTCGATTAGAAATTTCTTACAAACAACCGAATTAATTTCGAGTTAAAACATATTTACGAACATCCTGTCGCATCCACAAAGAAAATAAAATTCTATTAATTTCGCATATACGCCAGTCTCTTTGACTATTTTGTAAAATTCAAATCAGATTTAGGGCAATTTCCATAGGTCGCCCTTCATCATGACGGTGAGCTGCTTATTAATATTCATGGCAAATCTACTAATGTGATGCAGTTTCATCCCAGAGCAGTATCCACATGAAAATATATCCTTGTCTGATGGACAAAATTCAAGCGGCGTGACAAGGACGCGACCATTGACGCAGATGAATTATCTCCCTGGAAGGTCCCATTCAACTTCAAATCCTTTATCCAGATTGCCAGTTTTCTCGAAATTTTGGATTCACAACAACCGCAGGTAGCGAAAAGGACGGCCTATCAAATTGCAACTAACGAAGAATGGTTCAAAACGAAAATTAAATCGTAGCATTAATTTAAAAATTATAAATTACAACCCCCGGCGCGCCGTTCGCGTACGCCAAACGAATTTTCAAACTGGGAATGACAAGGACGCGACGCAGCGACAGAGGATACACCGAGAGCAATTTACAATGATAATCAGTTGACTGGACCGATGATTAACTGTATGAATACCAGATTTGCCGGGAAATTGGGCATTTGCATTGCGCCCTCCCTCTCGCTCGGACGTGTCGTGTTCCTGTCCGTCAACGTTGGGATTTATCGCAAGGTATACGGTTAATTACTCGATGGAGGACGGAGGAATTCTAATTTTGATTAACCTGTTCGGTACAATTCGGGGAATACATTTTGTTTTACCGACGGGATCGAATCGAATCGATGCGATTTGGTAAAAAAAAATAAGGGAAATTTTCGATTACAAACGCACAAACGTGCGTAACAACATAATGAGGTTTCCATTGCATGTTGGAGTTATTGGTCGTGCTGTAATACAAGAATAACATTTGAAGATCTAAAGTCATTTCGTATAATAGAATTTCCATGAACTTAAATAAGGGTTTATTTCTGAGTAAATTGTTCTGAATACATCGAATGCACGCAATAAATTTGATTAGATAACGTATTTTCTATCAATTTGTGTGGAACTCTATTGTGTGGTCTGCGCCTACGAGAAAATGAAATTTGATGCGATTCACAAAAAAACCTATTAATAAATAATTCCAATTAAATAAGTTACTTTAATTAAACTAATATAACATATTAATAGATCCTATTGATATCCTATCCCTTGCTATTGATTATCATAGATATCACCTTAAAAACCCACATATTAATTAAAAAAACACACAATTTATATCGCCTATATTACATATAACAGAAAATAGAAATAGATGTGGTTAAAAAGAAACGTTTAAATAAAATAACCAATAATTCTTGCTATCGAGTATCATCGTATTCACCTTAAAATTCCATCAATGATATAGAGAAAATCCATTGTGATAATAACGTTGATAACAATCAAAAAGAGCACACAAATTATTTCGCTAACAGAAAATGGAAACTGATGTCAAAAAGAAATCTCCTTGTTGCAGATTATTATCATAGTATTCACCTTAAAATCCCACATATGAAATATCCCCGTTAATAACGTAAAACAGTTAAAAAAAGTACGTAATTTATAACGTGTGCGCTATTCCGCACGTAATTCCCGTGCAAACGACGGGCAACATTTCTCGAATTCGACGACAACGTATTCGCTTTTATGTGTTTCGCTTCAGCGTTGCCAACCAAACGCCAAATAACAAATTAAGCCGTAAAAACCCCCATTTTATCTGGGAACGAATAAAAGAAGCGACTCCGGGCGCAATAACAGTTAAGGTGTAAATTGGAAGCTATTGAAAAATCTCATTAGGGGGCCTGCGGACGCCGCCTCTCGATAAACTCGGAATTGACGGCCGCCCCACCGGAATCGGGCTTACGTTCTGCGCTGTAGTAGAGCCGGTATGCATTTCAGATTTATTCCTTCGTGCAATCAATTTTAGTATTTGCCTACATACGTAAGCATGTCGATGTTTAATTGTTGGGAATCTCGCAGGTCGCTAATTGATGATAGATGCTGGTAATGTGGATGCGTTTCTTTTTAGTTTAAAAAATATAGTATCGTACCGCTTGTGTGAAAATACTTCTGCAGGATAGAAGAAAAGGCCGAAGTATACCTGCTAACGGAAGTGGATGTGCCGTTGTGGCAGGAACTCCAGGGAAATCAAGGCGTCCTCGATATTGCACTCTCTGTACTGTACCTATACCATCCAGTTCTGCCAAAGAGAAGTTATTTTTTACCTTAACGAATCCATCTATGGTGTTTCTTAATTCGATTAGTTAATTTGGTTTTCGTAGAAAGAAATTTGTGACCTTCATTGAACCTTATTACATGGTAATTTATGAAATCAGGTATAGCGCTTTGAACGGAATTTACGTACACGATGTTATCAAAGGAAGTCAATTTGTATGTACTCGTATCTGGAAATATACGTTTCATGTTTCATGTCGGTCTATACAAGGACAATAATAACATAATATCGCCGTAACTATCTGGAAACGTACGGGTAATTTTTATGACAATTTTCAATCAAGCCGTCCAAGCAGAAGACAATTATTCGCATGTGAGGTTTTTTGTTCTCTGCGCTAGGCCGAGGTTTCGTGACGGAACGAGCTCACCGATCATCGATCGAATACACGTCGGAATTTATGAATTTTCATTGTGATGTTAAAGCCGGCATTTTCGCAACTTCTTATTTAATGATTAAATTTAATCGTTCGCCGGAATTGGCCGTTCCGGAGCGCCGAGGCCGCCGGCGTAAGAAAAGAACACGCGAAACGAAGAGAAAGGAAGATACTT